AGAAATTATCTGCATTGTTATTCTATGGTGATGCCTGTGATAAATGAGGTTACACGTACTTCATTTGAAAGCATAGTAACGGTTTGAACTTCCGAATTATAAATTCTCCAATGATACTTGAATATTCCAGTTTTAATCCTGTTAGATGGTTTAATCACAATTTAAGCGTTTTGAGTTTACTGGCTATTCTCTTAAAGAGTCGAAGATGCATTTTCATTCTTTCTTCTCCAGTTACGCTGCACAGTTCTCACAAACGCATTTCGAAAGTTGGTACGACCAATGAATTTATTTCGACAGAAGTAGTTATTGAACTGGTATACTAATACTGATGTAATCCAATGCTTGAGACCATCTTTCACATGTTGAGGAGTGTATTCCTAGTAAAGCAAAATATGATTTCAAGATGACCAGCATAAAGGTTCTGCTTGTAGATCTTGATAGCCTTTTTTGTTGAAGCATTTTCAATTCAAAAGTTCAAACCGTTACTGGACTTTCAAACTGAATACATGTGACCTCCTTTTTTACCCTAATGCTCAACATCATGCAGTGATAATCCTGTTCTAAATCTCTTTCTATGTAATGAAAATTCCTCCTTATCACTAAGTATATTTTGGACCCATGGTTCGAGACCATTCTGGAATATTCTTCGCTCTCCACTATATGTTCACAAAAGTATATTTCAGAGACTGAATTCGTTGAAAAGAAAATTCTTCTTTATTCTCTTCACTATGCCCATCTTTTGCTCATTCCCAGTAAGTTGTGTGTGTAGCCTTAAGTTCAATCTTATATAATCAAAAGCTACCTACATTCATAAGTTGTCTTGAATGTTACAATAACAAAACTGTTCACAGAACAAAACATACATTCAAGAGCGGTCCTACTTGAATTTCAAGTAATTGGTTTTGTTAACATGTGATATTCCTTCCGTAGAAGTGACATATTTATAAATTTTACAATAAAAGTACAACTTAATGACACTTGAACAAATTTATCAGTTCAAGTTAAATTTATACAACTGGTGAGATTTATCATTTTTGTTTGAAGAAGAAGAAGTGAAATAGTTAGGAGAAAAGAAGAACAACTTAAGTCAGTAGATAAAATGATGGATAAGACTCGAAGCACTGATCACCTGACGACAATGACATTCTTTTAGATTACATGAAATCACATTTAGAAGTATTTAACGTTAAACAAACTTAAAGTTTGAATGTTAGTTACTTGGGGGCAATCGGCAGGAAGTCCTATTCGACCTACGTTTCTTACCTTTTAACACTCGTCAGCAAGGCGTATCCACAACTTCGAGAGGACCCATGTCCCATCTAAGATTCCACCTGCGTCACCCAGGGCTTGTCAGAGATGTTACCACTGAGATATTCGGTTCGTGACTGATCTCCTGTAGGACTGGATCTAATACAATGTTAGTTCACTAGGGGGTAAACAACTTCGCTTTTTCTAGTCCTGAGAGTTGACCGAATTTTCTCGATCAGTTTCAAATGTGACGAGTGCTAACAAGGGCAAAACTTCGGTCCTGAGTTTTCTGCTGATTACCTTCAACCAACTAACATCGATCAAAGTGCACTGTGATGTTGAACCTGGCAGCTTGGAGATCAAATCGCAAAATGATGGATAGAATTTGGTAGTCACTCAGGACTAGGCAAAAGGAGGTAGATTGCTCTGCACTGACTAGCCAATGTAAACTTAAAATTCGTTCTAGAACCAACAATCATCAAGTAAGGCAATACTGTTTGGTAATTTGAGCATGTAATATCAAATTTTACTACCAGCTTGATATGTTGGCTAGTGGTTGGAATTGGGCCAAATCTAGTCAGGTACAACAGCATGCACAATCTAACAGCAGAACGTTTGATCTGAATAACTGTTTAAGATGCCTATATTCCTCATATTCCATACTTACAGTTTGGGTATATTTAAACCGTCTTACTTCGCGCTCTTTTTCCTGCCCATAGGTCATATTTCGTATGACTCGCCAGTTCTCTGATTGGGTCCTGTCTCTTTAAATGCATTAGTTATTCCTCGTCTTTTAAGGTTCCTTTTCATTCACAAACGTTTTCAGTCCCATTTACTATAAACTAACCTGATTTTCAGTTTTTTAATTTCTCTTTGCGAATCACTCAGGTTGAATCGTCTCAACCCTCAGTTATCATTCGTTAAGTATTCTTGTTTGTTCTCGGAACTCCGCATCATAACAATAACACAGTATCGATGGTGTCGGGTTCTCTGAGCTAGACACCGATACCAATACCCGTAAGCGATATACCGCACACTTTAAGAAGGTTCATGATATTACCCTACTACCGTAACCGAGGTAGGTGGAGGAAGATTGAAGCCACTAACCCATCACCTGAGTGTCATGTGTTTAGATTGACGATCCACATCAATACAATGAAGACTTGCCGGTTAGCATGTACGGCATTAGATACTTAATCATTTACCTTAATAATCAATGAGAAACACCGCTGCTACCGATTTCGCTGAATTTTGATGTCAACAATAATACGACTAATATATTTTCTGAAGATTCCCTTTCACATACCTGTATTGATGTATATTTACCACCACAAGTTATGTTTATACAAATCTCAGTGTTTTCCAAACACATTCAGTGTCCAACATTTGTGAAATTATCCGACCGAATTTTAACCAGGATTTAATATTCGTTTATCACTTTCGTAAAATATATTCAACTAATTACAAGGTCACCAGTTTAGTCCCTCGTAGGGTCGTGAGTGCGTACTGCTGAGGAGTCCCGTACTAGGACGAAACAGGTATCTAGTGCTTCCAGATTTTCAACGGTTCTCCAGCTGATATCAGCCCGTGGTGAATACTACCTTAAGAATGTATCATAAGTAATTTATGAATATCGAATAATAATGGCCTGGGTTATATGTCCTAATTGCTTTACGAGTCGTACAAGATCTGCATAGTTTAACAGAAGAAACATAAAATGCCTGAAAATCTCCAACAGACAGACACTTTTTAACGGCATATGCCACAAGTAATATGCTGATGCATTGAATCGATCTTAATCTAATATGATCTTAAGCTGTTATACTTTGACATTAGATATAGATTGCATTTGTGTAAGTCACAGTGGGTTTGGAATTAAATAATTCCAACGTTTCGCACAGAAGTCTGGTCCGAGCTTCTTCAGGGAAATAATCGAAATGAAAATATCAAGGATATATATAAATGAATTCAAAAAACCTGTATTTAATCTCCTTGTCCAACCTTCTTCGTATAGTCGTTGTCTTTCTAAATTATGATAACTAATCATTCAGTGTGAAACTGTGTCTTTTAGACGTAGTATTCATCATGGACTGACATCAGTTATGGAACCATTGAAAATCTGGGAGCACTGGATAGCTGTTTCGTCCTAGTATGGTGTATGTATGTTACATGTGTATGTATACTCCAATACTCCAATTGTAAATATCAGATACAAAGGTCACTGGTGACATAGTTATTCGGTAATTTTATAAGTACAAATTGAAAAGGATGAGGTAGATGTGTATAGAGTTTCAGTTGGAATAGTGGTGAATAGTGTTAGCCAAAGGAAAGACAAAACTCATCATCTTCAGACTATATATTCCTGAATTAATTTGTCGTGTTGTGATAACACAAACTGATTAAACAGTTTACAGACAAGCCTGTATCGTTACTCTGATTTCTGTTAAGTCACAGTTTATTCACCTTAAAACAAATATCCATTTTTGTAATCAATAAGTTTGGTAAATATGGTTGACAATGAGTTAATGATTTTTATCTGTTTTCTTTTGTATAAGATCAGTCACTATCTTAATCCAGCTTTTTTCACACTTGTTGCTTGTTTTAAATTTGTATCGGGAAACAGATGTTTTCAACTTTCTTAATCAACAACTTGGTGTTCATCATTTCAGTATATGCCATAGGTGCGAAACTCAGTATCCACAAGTAGATTCTAAGTCACACCCTATGTAGAGTGGCTGATGATATCACTTGAATTGAATCGAAACAGACTCAGTAACCTTATACATATTCATGTAGCAGATATTGAACCACACCTGTTTTGTGAAGGCTAAAAATACCACCTGGATGTCCAGACTTCAGTAGATGGGACTGGGTTCGATAGATAGGTTAGCGATTAAGTGCCCAGACCAATGAGTCACAGCTCCACAACGTTATCACCACCTGACTACATTAAATTTGATGAACAAAGTGGACTTCGACCCCGTTGTTCAAAATTGATTGCTCAGTCTAATGAATTATAACTTTGCTAATCAGGCCTTTCTATTGAGAAAAGTCAAGTAATCTAGGATCCTGACACTGTTATTCATATATAATGTTTGGACTTACCTAATGGGAGTATAATGAACCTCAACACTTAATACGATGAATTTGAAATTCCCGGAAGCACACACTATGGTGATCAGTACTGACAGAAACGAAATCTTCCCATAGGGTATCAAAACTGAAAACTCCCAACAAAGATTGCAGTTCTTCGAATATTTTTTTACTTGAAACAACTTAATGATTAGATGTTACTCTAATCAGATGGAGAATTTTGTGACAAAACTTGGTCTTTTTATTCATAGAATTGAATGGCTTGTTAGTTGGTTGGAGGTAATCGACAGGAAGCCCTGCTCGACCTAGATCCCATACTTGTTGGAGCTTGTTATCAAAGTTTGTCTGTGACCTCGAAGGAACTCATGTCCCCTCTGAAATTTGAACTCGAGTCAGCAACATTACCACTAAGCTGTTTGGGCTGCAATTGACCTACTGTAGGACTGGACTAGATACATTGACTGGTCACTGAAGAGCAACCAATCTCATATTGTCTAGTCCTGAGTGCTAACCGAATTCTATCGAGGATTTTGCTATGTGACCATCCAGCTGGCAGGTTCACCATTGCAGTGAACTTTAGTTAGAAGAATTAAAAGACTTATACAGAGTAATGACGACAACAATTCCCTCTTATCATGATTGATAGAAAACTTATGAATAAAAGTCACTCATAAATTTATATTTATCTCATTCGCAAATTAAAATTGATGCACACAAACACACACACATGCAGGTGGTATTGCAGATAACTGATTATTCCGAAAAAGCAATTCACTTCAAAATTACTAAAATAAACAAGCGTCATTTATGTACTGCAGAATGTATCTGCCTACAACTTGACAAGTCGGCTGTTCTAAGCGAAAATAGGAGTCGTACGATATAATCTTCACTATGATGACCACATTAAACAACATAATTATTATCCTCGTGTTGAGCCACAATCCGTCGGTTGAATACGCATCAGAAGTGTACTAACTTCGATATATTCATCAAGTTTAGTGCATACGCATAACACACAAGTGCCGCCAACGACATTTTCAATAATATGTACACAATTAGACATTAGGCATCGTTATAATCACTGCAATTGTTATAATAGGCATTAATAATCATTCATTAGAAGTAGTAACTAAACAACGGCGTTTGTATTGATTAAAAAAATAGAACAAAGTGTTATACCACAACAAAGCTGACAGTTTTTTTTTTTGAAAACACGATTCATTGAACGGTAACAACAAAAAAGATGGGCTAACTAAAACGAAGAGATATACTCATATTGTTTTACAAATATTCTTATTTTAAGGGTGAAAGATGAGGGGACAAAGTCAACCAAAATTAAGGAGAAATATGGTTCGAAGTCAATGATTAATCATTTTATTCGTAATAGTTAAGCTTAAAAAAGAGAGCAACAGTTCTTCCTATAAAACTCAGACAGTTTGTTATTCTATTGGCAAGGTACACAAAAAAATCATGAAAATTCAAAGACAACAAAAAGATGCATCGAAAAAGCACAGTATAATAGTAGGCAGACAAATTGAAAGTGATAAAAATATGGTGGGTGATAATGACCGGTGGTCAGTTGAATGTTTCCTTTTTTTACACAAAGGCAGTAAGACTGTTAACGACTGGCTTATAATCAATGTTCTATGAATAGTAGTAGTGGTAGTAATGATAATGACAAGTTAACCACTGAACTTACATGATTTTAATTGGTTGGTTGGGGGGGGGACTTAATTATCCACTGGGTTCTATTTTCAATTAGTGAATGCACATGCTTGTTCTGCTTGTCTGTATACAAAAAGTATTCATCATGAAGAAAGTACTGTCTTATTTACGAAACATGGACATCATCTGAATTGTTCGAAAGGTGAGAATCCATTTCAGATAGGTTGGTTTGATCATGTTCCATTGGAATTTCAGTTTGTATGAAGTCCGCTTTCTTTACATCAATAGTATCTTCATGAACATCGTCACTATGAAAAGTATTATTGATTGAGATATGATTCTCGTCGACTAAACTATTAGACTGCAGCTGATTATCGAAATGATTCTCGTTGAGTATGTGTTCTTGAGCATTCTTTAAAATAGACTGAACGAAAGAGTTGGCTTCTTTCTCAACCTCATGATCTTCAACTGTTTCAGTATTTTCCAAATTACTACAGATAGTTTGATCATGGTTGAATAAAATCGATTCTGAGGTTACTAGGTGATTGCCTGAGGGAAGTAATTCTTCGGACTCTAAATTGTGTAGAAGATTGGCATGACTCTCGTTGTTTACTTCGGCATTTTCGATAATTTCATGATTTGCATTACCAGTATGAACTGAGTTTATATCACTCTTCAAATATTCAGTTGACTCGCCGTAAGTAATGCTTGACTGAAGCAGATTTTCAGTCATTTCGGTGTTAAGGCCTTCGTCATTATGAATTTTCTCTGTGATAGAATCGTCATTATTAAGTTTCATATCAATTCCATCCTTTTTACCTTCACTTGCTCCACTATGTTGTTCGTTTTCGGGTAGAGTGTATTCTACAGTTTGTTCAGTTAAAACTTCAGTCTGAACCAACTCTTCAGGCATCATATCTTGTTGAGGAGTATTTCCTGGATGTGTGTCAGGTACAGTACTCTCAGTTTGTTCAATGTAAACTCCTCCAATCTTTCCTGTAGCTTTGGATATAATGGGATCACATGTTACACCAGGATCAGCTACACATTCCACCAACTGGTTTTGCATTATTTCCTCGTGTATAGCATCCATCAGTTCATCATTTTCTGGAAGTATGGCTTCTGTGGTATGATGTTCTCTAATCGTTTCTGTAGACTGGGATATAATAGGAGACTCACTATGGAGTGGATCACACGTTACACTAGGATCAGCTACACATTCTACCAACTGGTTTTGCATTATTTCCTCGTGTATAGCATCCATCAGTTCATCATTTTCTGGAAGTATGGCTTCTGTGGTATGATGTTCTCTAATCGTTTCTGTAGACTGGGATATAATAGGAGACTCACTATGGAGTGGATCACACGTTACACTAGGATCAGCTACACATTCCACCAACTGGTTTTGCATTATTTCCTCGTGTATAGCATCCATCAGTTCATCATTTTCTGGAAGTATGGCTTCTGTGGTATGATGTTCTCTAATCGTTTCTGTAGACTGGGATATAATAGGAGACTCACTATGGAGTGGATCACACGTTACACCAGGATCAGTTACACATTCCAAAAACTGATTTTGCGTCACTTCTTGAGGTACGTTTTCCCCAGCATGTTTTAGTAATACGGCATCTGAGTTATCTCCAGCATCTAAAACGCTATTATCCGCATGCCTTTCAATATGTTCTGATCTAGGAAGTGATTCATCATGGGGTAGATTTTGATGTGCTCCCATGTCACTTAAGGGTTCTGATAAAACATTTTGCACCATCATATAAGGTATGTTATTTTTACATTCAACAGTTTCAGAAGATTCATCAATCAACTCATTCTCGGCTTCTGTGACACTTACATTTTCATTTAAGTTATCAGGTGCAGAAATGATAACTCTTTCATTTGAGGATGGATTGTAGGCAATGCTTGGTTCAGCAAAACATTCCACTATTGCACTTTTCACCACTTCCTCATGCTGAATACTTTCAGAAATTGCAGCGTCCATAGCAGATTCGATTTCTCGGTCAATTGCATCGGTGCTTAGTTCCAACTCCTCAATATTTTCATATTTCTCAGTTGTTTGATCTACGAATTCGACATTTTCTTTTGAACGAGAGACTTCTGTCAGGCATTGTTCTGCTATTTTTACGTCTACTTTCGTATCTTCATGAATCATTTCAGCTGCTTCTAAACGAGAGTGTTCATGTTGTAAGGAATGTGTTTTATCTTCAAAATGATTCCCAGCAGAATCACCGAGTTCATTGTTATTCTTAAGTAATTCTTGTTGCTGCTTTATAGCTGCATCAAAAGTAGCGTGGTCTGTGGCCTTATTTTGCTCATCACGTTCCAAAGTAGTGGTCAACTTGATATCTGTATCAACATGAGTTGATGCATTCTTTATTTCTGTTTCCATAATATTTTCAATTTTATCACTATTCTCCTGTTTTGGTAAAACATGGGCTATCAAGATTTCAGCTTCGTCTGCTAAGACTGGACATTTCCCACTATCTTTATTTTTCAGTTCACTGTCCTTGGGTAAATTTCCACTTACTTGTTTCTGATCCTTTGTTTCTGGCATTTCATGCATTGCAGATTCATTGGACCGTACTGCTTCAAGATGATCACATTGCTCAGTAGGTTGGTGTGAATGATTATCAGTTTGTAGCGGTTTAGTGGCAACACTGTTTGATTCAGTCTTTTCTTCATCAAAGATGTCACCGTGCCTTCGATTTTCAGGGACCTCTTCAGTTGTCTGTAGCCTAGTCCTTGCAGGTAGAGTGCTCGATCTGTTTACTGTAGTATTAGAGACATCACCTGGTTTTTTACTAGTTCTCCAGCTAAAACGTTTACGTATTCCAGTTGGACGCGAATCAGTTGTGGCATTTGTTTCATCTTTACGTGAAGTAAATCTTGATAGTATTGCACCCATTGTGTAAACGTAACTTAAACTATGACCAAACAAATAGTTTCACTTGAAGTGCTAAGATGAGTGACTGGTTTTATATGAACAGTCGTTTTACCTGTATTAAATTAACCAATCAAATATATAAGAAATGATTTAAAAACACCAATTACAATTTCTCCAATTTATGGATAACCTTGAATTTTGATTGGCCTTAGTTAAATTGTATGGAATCAATTTTAAAGATACGCGTTTGACTGATAAAGCAATAACTTTTTGCAGTGAGTCATCATGAAAAATATGCACATGACCTAAACGCACTGTTGAGATAAAGTACAGCTGAGAAACTTACTTATGGCCAATTTTAATGGCCATAAATAACCCCATATTACTGGTGATAAAATCAATGCTTTGTTCCATGAACCTAAAGCTTTTCCTGATTTTAAACTTTTGTTTTTCAATTCTAATATTCGCTTAATGCGCATCGCTGCTTCAGGATTAATTAAGATTCAGATTTATAGTTCGAGTATGAGAAGGCTATGAGCCAATATTAATTTTTTCCTAGTCATGTTTTGATGGAGTTAACGGATTAAGTTGACACCACTTCTTTCGGTAGTCGGTTTCAATAGTTGATAACTTGACGGGAAAACCAGTTCTTAGTGGGGACGACTTTTGGTGAAAGTTCGATATAATGCCCAAAGTGTCCTAATACTTCTACCTGCAGCCAATCGACCATGCACTTTCGTCTTCAAATTGTGATTTGTTGTGATTCTTAGGTTACTGAGGACCAATACTGTGGGCATAGAAGTTCGACCAATATCCTAGGTTTATACCTATGTATATACTCCATGTACATGCTCACACACTTGCGCTGATAGACATGAGCCATTTCCCAGACCAGGTTAACAAACGGTTTAGTTCTTTCTGGAGTGTATATACATTCTCGTCATCTGTAACTTCTCTCCAGGCTTTTACATCATCAGCGTAGATAACCATAATATTCAGCAGTTCTTTTATGTAAAGCAGAAATAAAAGAGCATCAAGAACTGCTCCTTGCGGTACTCCACTCTATACTGGCTTCCAAGAGAGGAGTTGGGAATTGATCCTTACTCTTTATCGCCTTCCAACAAGGAACCCTGGGGTCCATGCTTGTAGACTGTCAGTGATTTCGGAGCTTTCCAGTTTCACAAGCGATCTGAAATGAGAAACCTAGTCGAGTGTTTAACTGAAGTCTATGAAAATTCTATCAACGGTCTTTTTATCAACCTTTAACTTAATCCAAAGTTTTTTTGACTGTGGGTAGGTTTGCGAAGCTTGGGAAACTCCTCCGAAAGTCATTCTGTGAACTTGACAGTAGTGTGTTTCTTTCTAGGTGCACTGTGGTGGCTCTTTTCGTCATTGTTTACAGGATTTCCGCTACAGTACCAGTCAAACTTATCGATCTGTAAGTGAATCTCTGCTGCCTTATGATCTACCTAGTGAATAGGTATAACTACTACACCCTTCCATTCCTCAGGGAGTATGGATTAACCAGGTGATAGCCTAAATAGAGTAGTTACTGGACCAGCTATGTATTCTTCAAGCGCTGAGCAGCTCATCCCATTTCGGTTATCTTCCCATACCCAGAGTACTTACCGTTCTAAAAATTTCATTGTAGTCAATATTCAGAGAATTCATTTTTCTGGGCCTCAAGGCTTCTTTAGTTGAGGTTTTGTTCGTAGAACAGTCCTGCATAAAGATTCGAGAAAGAACGGCTCATATGCTAATGATCTTCAGTTTACAAGGTAGTTTCTGTTTCTTTAGTTAAGATAGGGATAACACAACATGGTTTACTTCTACAAGTCATCTAATAGAAGAGTCTATCCAGGCATTCTACTGCAACGTCGGTGGGAAGAGATTTCGAAGAACATTCAGAATAAGGAAATAGCGGCAGCATATTTATTCCAGACTACGTTTTAATACCTGACCTAACACTTTTCCTTTCATCATAGCATACTCTGGATCTCGCGATTGATTCCCGGTTGACGGTATTTTTGTTCCTTCGGGGCAGTCCATAAATGAACGGTTGAGTCACTCGTGTGTACAGCCATCTGAAGGAACACGACGCAACTTCAACTTGGCCTTCTAATTGACTGTCCAGTCCTTCAAAGAGGCTGTCAAGTTAACAGCTGTTATATTCAACTTCCAAACATTAGGTCGAAGTGGAGCGTTGACTTGGCATAATACAGCTGCTGAGAATTTAAAGATAATCACAGTGTGATAACTTTTACCAAGGGGTACAAGGTATCGGGTGAATCTTACACTATCTGTGTTGAAGAATACTGAGTGTAGCACTGATTGAATATGCTAATAATCCTATAGGATTGCTGCCCTAATGTATTGTATTAGAGCCAAAGAAATTGATGTTCTCATTAATCAGATGAATTACGTGATGCCTCTGTTGTTAGTTTGGCCCAATAAACTGATAGTCTGTTAGACTCTCCTACAACTGAGCATCAGCGTTTATCTGTCCAGCTTATCCATGAGCAAATTTTCAGCCTCAAAATCAGGGCTGCGATGTACTACGGCTAGGTTGACATCCTGTCCCTTGAATTTTAGTCGGCAGCGCACCACTTCATATGTCCCACTTTCGTATGGAACTGTTTGTTTGAATCTTACAGTTAAGGTGTTCATCAAAGGATGACGCTACCACCTATCACTTCGAAAAAGAATGAATTCTTATAAATGTGCTTCACCGTCACTGAACTCAGAAAAGAGCTTATTATGTCACTTAACTCGGTCCATTTAATTAGGAGACTGCGAGCGCTTGTGTGCAGAATGTGTGAGTTTTCAACCTGTTCATAGAGGCACTAACATCTTTTTTTCATCAAGCTTCACTACACCAAAACCCATCACTTCAATATATTTTTCGCCTGCTGCTAATCAAAATTTCACTCGTTTCTCTGCTTCTCATCTGTCGATTCGATCAGTAAGAAACGAATCTTTACGTAAAAACACTCTAGTTCTTTGAACTTCATGGGATTTCTTCAGAGTAAGATCTCCATTGTCTGTTGACGTTAACATGACTTTAAGTGGTTGAAATTTGTTTTTGGCGGAGACTTCCTTTGCTTTACTTGTTGGATATACCTTGAGTAGAGTGAACCTTGATGTTTTCTGTTAATCGCTTGTCTGATAAACTTTGAATCTCACTGAGGTTATGTTCAAAGTTATGACACAGTCTTGGGTCTCTACTTTCCTTAATTCTGTGGAAGACCCCGATTTACACAAGGTTATACTCCTTCCATGCTCTGTTAAGTAGTGACAATTGGTTCTACGACTATGACTGAATTCTTAGTGTGCTGTTTAGTTTAATCACTTGTTATTTCTCAGAGTTGTTGGATGTGGAAGACTGATCAGTGTCTATTTCAATAACCTTGATGGCATAAGAATAAAATTTCATCTGCTTTCGTGTACAGGTTATCATTCATTTAGTTACGGGACTGTGTGGAACCTGCAGCTCCTGTCCTTTATTATTTGGTACCTGACAATGCTTCACTTCGTTTCTTTTACCAAAATCTAACCTGGTCTTATCGCCAGTAGTTTTTGGACTAAATCTGCTAGCCCTCGGAATGTGAGAACCTGAAAATTCTGGCTTCACCTTGTTCTGTGAAGCCTTTTCTTAGACAATTTTCAATTTATTTACCAACTATACTACCCACGTTGACAGTCCTCACAGCTGGGTGGCTTTTCAACTACCCAACTGTGGTGTCACCAGGGTTTCCGGTGGAAACCACTTAGCTGAGATCATAAGGTGTGTTCTCTGACACAACAGTGCCATGTATTGACGAAAGGTACCACCACTGAACAACCTGAGTAGTTAGAAATCACTGAGGCTGATCTTGAGTATTTAGCCAGCCAGATACCGGTCCATAAAAGTTAGCTGGCCAGATTCAGTTGATCTGAACTAATTTGGCTCTGCGAACTATATTTGTCCGGGTACACCACTGATGAGCTCCGTCCCGAACAAGACGAATAGTCGTCTGGTGTTTAGATCACTCTGATCTGGCTGGTGAAATACTTCAGATCAGCCTGATTAGTTTCTGACTGCTCAGGTTGTTCAGTAGTAGTATCTTTTTTCAGTCATCATCAACATACCTTGCAGGTAGTTTCTACACCTGCACTGCACAAAGTTTATTCGAGATGGATATTTTCGCTAAGTGAACCCATATATTTCAAGGATAACCCAAACAATATCGAGAACAAAGGTCCATGTCAGTGTTTGCTTGAATATTCTACTTCCACGTTAAATTTTTTGCGTATTTCTTACAGTGAAACAGAATTACTGAAATCACTAGCTAATAAGTAATTAAACTATTTCTATGTAATTCTATCTTATTTATATTGGGATACATTTTTTTAATGATAAAATCGAACTCGGTGCTTAGATTCTTGCAGAATATTGCTAACAATCATGGTCAGGACATCTGTAATCTTATTTCGAATAGTTAGTTCTGTTTACCAGATGACTGAGTTACAGAGCATTTACGTTTGAGGTTATATGTAACTTCACAGTCATAAACTAGCCAAGAATTTCTTTCAATTAGTTAACTTAAGTAAATAGATGATATCTAGTCACCGCCTTAACCAACCTAAATTGCGTTTGGAGGGTTGCGGAGATTCATTGATTTCAAGTTGGCATTCATCATGGACTGACATCAGGTACTCAACTACGACATTGGATGCAGGTCGTGCAATGTTGCGAACTGGCAGTTGGAAAGTATGGATCACCAGAACTTGACCCAGTGACTGGATGATGACTTGCTGAACCCAGAACTGAAAGGCCCTGAGTTTAGTTCCTGGTGGGGTCACTGGTGTGCACTCTCAAGGAGTCCCATGTTAGCATGAAACAGCTGTCTGGTTCTCCCAGCCTTTCAATGGTTCTCCAACCAACGTCATCTTGTAATGAATATCAAATTGTAGCCTAATATGATGTCAAAATTTAAGGGAGGACTTCAAATATCAGGTTCAATAGAGCACGTACGATTTTGCGTTCAGCATATTACTAATAATCGCTAATACTGGATATTCAAAATTACCAGCTGATTATTATTCTTCGTAGAAGTACGTGAATTGTGATTAGTTGGTAAACAAATTTCATAATATAACAGTCGAACTAATCGTAATTGCATCGGGTTACAAAACTTGAGTGTTAAATACTTTCAGATTCTTTTATGTTGTGTATAATATAATGCAGGAAAAAGCACAAACGTGTTTCGCCCTGATTGCCAACAAATGGAAAATAATTAAATAGCCAAATATATATGTTAAAAACTGAAGAAATGATGTCACGTGACGAAACAGAGAAAAAATTCAAGAAGGGGAATGAAGGATACGACACAACAAGGTTACCAAGATTCTGAAGATTAATTCTGATAGGTTTCCATTGTTGGAATCCAGCTACCTTTTTAAGAAAGCCTACACTTCTGTTCTTTTACGTCATGTCATCACAGGAGATGGCATGATAAAAGTAAGGCACTAGCCTATCCCAAAAGAGTCGCTCTGGCTTACTATAAACTACTAAATACCGTGTAAATTTATATTGTCACAACTTTACGCATTGATGCGTCCTAAAGTTTAATCGCACTTCATAAAAACATCATAAGGTATTGCATGAAAAGAGAAGCAAGTTTACAACCTAACCATCGTTTCTGTTAGTCAACCACTTTACGCTTATAATCTATCCATGGAGCATGTACGGTTCAACAGTAGGTTTACTGGTGCGAGAAAATACTGTGAACCTTTGTGCGGTCAAAGATTCAATTAGCCAGTGAACTAGTGAGTTTTTATCCAAATATTCTATCCTGGCTACCGGGAAGATAAAAGGTATTACAAGTAATCAATGAAAACTGTGAAAAATCTGCTCAATTCCTAAATGCCTAATGTTATTCTAAGGTTATGGTTTGAATCGAAGATCTACATATCTAGTGTTAAACAGCCAGATTTTCCAGTTAGACAACCAAAGACATTAGGACATCATTGTCAGAAATGGAATTCAGCTGCATTTCATTACGTTCAAAGTAGTAACAAAACTAACTGGTGTACATTCATCGCTGATGTTCTCCAAATGAGATAAACATTAATCGGTTTCCAAAAAGCTAAAAATATGCCTAGAATTCGGTCGTCAACATTATCAGTTCACTTGAAAACATGGTTTTTGAATGCTTGATCTGAATCTCTGACCTATTGGTCAATGTAAATTGGGAATTTTGCAATCATTCGTGGAGAATGATTATATTACGCAATGAATGTGAAGAAATCAGATTCTTGCTCAAAGGATCAGCTAGGCATGGTGCGCTAATCACGAGACCTGAAAATACTAAAATTATATCTTCGGATAGACTGAGAGTGTAAATACCTGAACAATTCAGAAAATCTGTTTAGTAGTTCCGTAATTATCAACACTTGTCTGAACGAAGTTATTTATCTATGGGAACTAATTGATGATAAATTATTTTCTTGATTACTAATAATGTGAATAGTTAGCTATATCAGTCTTCTTTTTTCTTTGGATTCAAATTTTAGTTTGATCAAACATCATGTCCAGATGTTTATGATCGAATTTTAAAGAACAGTATACTGGGTACTAAATTAGCTAAGAAGGCTGTAATATGCAGTCGTAATACTGGTGCTATCAATGCCTATGGACCAGAGGATTTTACACCATCGGTAGAACAAATCAATAAGGTGTTAATGTTATCACAAGTGAGCAATAATTTTACTTTTAAAATGTGATTAATCTTCATAATTGTCACACGATTAAAATCCTTGAGCTTGTTTTGATTTCAAACGATGTCATAATCTTCAATGTTGTAATCACTAGTATTTTGAAATTAACGGGTTATGCGTGGTAGCCCTAGCTGATTTCAGATGCAGAAACTATAACCTACAGTCAGGTTGGTAAACAAGATCAGTATGAACCCAGTAAGTGAGTAACAGTTACATCATTGATGAAAGGGATAAACTGTGGTCGTACAGCTTTATTCGCTAGACTTATGACGTTGGATAACCAATCTAATTAATTTATTGAACTCTATTTTGTTCAGTTTCTTGATTTCCGGTACCGAATTCGGATATTCCCATTCATATAAATTGCTTGTCCTTATAATCATTGCAAATGGTTTACGAGAATTACTACTGTAAACTTAGTAGAACTAATCCACTCATTTTTCATGACGTACATTCACTTCAACGGGAAGATCCAGAAACTAACCAAAGGGATCTCCTTGAATTCATCAATATCTGAACTGATCACTGATTCAGTGACGCAGAAATTAGATTCCATTGTTATTCCGATAACTAAACACGAAATTTTTAGTCATTATATTTATGATTTACTGCAGCACTCATAACAGTTGATTTGGAAAACGTTCAGCCCCATCAAAAAAATCCTCGAAGGTGGTCATTAAGCAAAAGAAAAAGAGGAAGATAGCAAAATAGCATTCTTAAAGTTTTTATCAATAAAACATATGATGGGACACCACACATTGCAGTGTGCAGGACGGTAATAGATGTAGATCTAATTTTGATACATTATAGTAACAACTCCAGTGCCTAGTAATTAGGGTTGCGCACATGCACTATTCTCACGTGGCAAGATTCATTGTACTACTCAACAGCTACAGAAGTCAGAAGAAAACCACCTTTACAAACTGCTGTGTCAGCGACTATGCAGCCAACTTCATCAAGAAATGCCCGTCAACCCAACACAGATCATGACAGTTACCTGAACCCACAAAATGAACCACTTTGCTGTATTCCAGGACGTCTAAGAAACTTCCAAACCGATTATTTCATTCACTCAATACCAGAATGGCACACAAACCAAACCAGTTCCCTCTAGAATATCGTGTACCAGCTAAATGATCCGTTACCCAACAAAGAAAAGAACGACAGAATCTACAAAATTTTTTGCAAAGACTGTCGACATCACTATATTAGCCAGCCCAACCATCAAATAACCCGAAGGATTTCTGGGCATCGAATTGCACTCACATAATATAATATAACATCACTGACATCAATGAATGTAGCTGACAGTGTGGAGGTACTGTACCAAGCAAGCTCAAGAGAATTCCTGAAAGTGTGATACTCCAGTCAAATGGTAACCAGCAGGCATGGACTACTAGGAAGGGGACAGCCAACTGGAAACCAATCAAGCTAATCTGCAGCCAGGCATTAGGACAACAGCATAAGTCAAATGATAACAACAGTTATGCGGGTCAACCTTTACAAGCCAATAACACCCAAGGTCGACAAATATCTTTCATAAACATGCATACAGCTTAAAAATTATTCACTTGTTTAGGAAGTAAGTCCTGATGAAGTCACATAGCCTGATGACCAAACATCTAAGAGCAAACGTTAAACTTCAGACACCACCGAACAATCACCAAAAATAAATTTTAATGGTTGGTATTTTTCCTCCTCAGAACTCATTATCCCTAATGGCTGTTAACATTCCTACTGAAATTTGAAATGATCACTAGTCCTGCCTAAAAAAGGAAGATAGTAAAGTATTTCCTTTGCATATCCTGATTTCAAACTTTCTTGTTAGATAAATAATGATTCATATTTCTGCCTAAAAATAGACTACTGTTAATCAGCCAGTATACTTAGGTGTGGAATTCTTGTTTATACGTATCACCCTAACATAGAATAGTGAAGATGATTAAATGTGCTTTGATATACTGTTTATGTTGACTTCTTGGGTGTGATCTTTTTTCTTGTTCAAATTTCCATGGTAATTTGGATAAATGGCAATGACTAGCTCATTGAAATGTACAAGGCGTAAACTAAGCACTTTAATTTCCTGATGCAATATAGACTAATCACAAGGAAACCTGAAAACATATTTGTGGAGAATGCTGACTTTATACCGGCTGAAACTTTTGGGAAATTTTATATTAACGGAAACGCCACTGGGGTAAGCCCTGCACTTACTACCTGTTTTTACACTATATTGTTGAAAACAGTAATGGTTATCTGGAATAGAATAACAGAGGAGTCCTAAGCTGGTGATGATAAAACTTTGAACGACAAAATGAAGAAAACTGCTTGATCACTGTCCTAATGAAAAGATGTCCATGTAACTTTAGTAGAAGTCTTTCACCAACGGTAATCAGCAAACGGATCATTCTGGTATACATAAAGAACCTATTAGAAATCACGACTTGACTAATGAACCCGTTTGGAATCGACGTAGCTGACAAACAAGAAAATTCTCTCCAGGATATATCTCTGCAAAGGATGCAATACTCAAAGAAAACAAACCAAACATCATTTGAAAAATCATCTGCAGCAACTTCGACAAACAGTACGTGGGATAAATTTATCGCCCTATTCGCCTTTGTGTACACGAACATCAGTTGACAATTAAACGTCATGCCACCTTTGCCAGTTATATCAGTCAAAACACATGATCAACTATGGACGTGAATTCGTTTTTAACAATGTGGAGATCTTGGTCAGAAGAAACACAAAGAATACAGATGTAGACGAAATCTATTGAACAATAGGCAGAGAAACAACCAATAGGAAAATATGTGTAATTAGTGACACAACAGCCAATCACTTGCGACTTCGACAAGAAAGGCTCCCAAATCGATAATAGAGAAATCCTGATAGGTCTCTTCAAAATGAAATCATTGTTAAAGATGTCTAGAAAGAGAATGAAAACTTCATGATGAAACTACCAGTTCAAAGAATGGAATGTACACACAGGATTATACGCCTCAGATATATCCGTTTCCTTCTGTTCACTTAAGCTGTAAAGGGTTTCTAAAGTGAACAGTTATGAACACTCCTCATTTCATTTCTGGAGTAGGTGAGATCCAACCTTATAGGTGATTGAGAAGTATTCTGTATGTCTCAGATATTTTCTGGTAATGAGCGTAAAATGCATACGACATCTAAGTGATGAAATGCACTTTAGTGTGATTTTCTCCAACCATTCATTATATTTTACCTAATCCTAGTAAATCCCTCAGTCTATTCATCTGAGTGCTAAGTGTGACAGGATTCTCTGCCAACTTCAATTTTATCCTTAATAGCAGTTATCAGTAAGACTTATCTATAAGTATGGCGAACGTGATGACCAGTCCATGATTTTAGCCTGTGTCATTCACTGTAGAAGTCAGAGACTGTACTATAAGTCCATTTGGGCCTCTAATGACTCGTTATACAACTGGATTATGCATAGAGATTGGTCACCAGATTGTATGGTAAAGTACGGATAACTTATCTACCTTGGATAGAATCCGTTGGAAGAAGTTCATGGAACACCAGACGTATCTAAATGCACCACTGACTCTTACATGCCTGTTTTATATATATATATATATATATATATATATATATATATATATATATATATATATATATATATATAATTGTCTTAAAGTAAACTATTTCTTTAAAAACTTTATAGAATTAAAACAAATGACGTGTGCAACTAATTAGCACTACACTTCATATAAAACTTATTTAGCCCCACTTTACCTGTTGTAATACTATGAAGTAGCATTACATTATGCAAACACCAGTGCAATAATCGTAATAAATTAGTTGGTTGATCAATGCCGTTTTTCCACATATCAGTTGCCTTGACGGCAGTGAGTCTCTTACTGCGTAGAATTCACTGTCAGTAAAAGTTGAATGATAAAGTTAGGTAGTGTAGTTAGTGACCTAGATAGTCAGCTATTTCAGCTGATTATACCTAGTGTTGGATAGACAGATTGATGTTTTTGATTTATCGGAGGTTAAGAGAAAGGTGTAGGTACGATTCTAAATTAAATGTATGTGTTAACCGCCGTTTCAACTTCATAAATTTGCTGATGAACTAGAAGTAGAATAAAAATACTTCTAATACTTATACTACGGAATCATACGAAACAGTAACCGTTCCCCTGATATAGATTTCAATTGAAAATAAGAAATATTTATGAAAATACTATGACCTATCGGCTAAAAATCAAGTGTAGCAGAACTCCTAGTGATGAGATCTCAAAAGATACTCTAAAACAGATAGTCAACTTCTTCAGGAAGTCCTAAAACAAAACAAACAGAGATGCATTCGTCTTGGTGACCATCAGTGGAATCCAGGACGTGTTTTTCGTCCTTTTTGGGACTCGGTAGTTGGATGTACCTGCACCCTAGTGAATGGTGTTTTTACCATTAGGTTTCGAACCCAAGTACCCTTCGCTTCGAATGGGAGGAAATTCACGTCCTAGATTATAACATCATGAATATCCGGCAATATCCAGGCACCTCTATAGGAGCCCATCTGCCAACAGAGGTCAAACAATTCGACCTTGTATAGCAACCAGAAACTGTAAGTATCAATAGAGAGTTATCCGGAGAAATCATAAAAAGAAACAGAAAGATTTTAAAAATGAGAATACTAAAAAAACAAATCACAGGGATCGGATAAATACTGTAGTACTTCCGTATCGCACATGCACTTCATAAGAAATAATAAGTATCTTAAATAGTTTCAACATCAGGGTATTCTTAAGACTGGCAGATTTTCTGAGCTCATATCTGCTCACTTTAAACGACCCAAATTCTCATATGTAGCAACAGAACGGTGTTCATAAGGTAAACTGCAGTCAATGTGCTGCTACATAGATTAGGGTGACATCACTTAAGGCATTGACACTTCAAATCAAATTTAATGTATCTAAGAAGTGGAACAGCGGAATCGCTACAAAGACTTGGTTCCAGAAACTATACTGCTAGTTATCTGAGTTAAAACTTGTAGATGAAGAAAAATAAAGTTGGCTTAAATTCTCTCTCACTGATATGAGCGAGGAAGGATATGACTGAATAAACAGAAAGATGGGCTAAAAGAAAGTTCCTAAGAATTTCTGAAGAGGAAGTTAGTGGATGATGTTATCTACAATTAGCTGAAATCTCGTAGATGGTAGTTACTTAATTTGCATGGTGTGCTGAAAGTGGATAAACCTAACGTTCAGTTGGGACCAATACTATTATCAGTGATCAACTAACCAATCCACAAGCCTGCCAGCTGATTGGTAATGAATACATTTAGAAATCATTCGTGCAAGAATGTCTGTTCATAGTCTAAAAGATACTCTCCAATTCAGAGAAGTGTTGAAGGAACTTGCTGTTTATCAAAAGTTCATGATTTCTTTTGGTGTATCATCCTTATTTACAAAGATGCTATTGAAAACAACATTACACATAGTATTTCAGCATCCAGAGCTATTTTTACTTTCAAAATATATGATTCAATTAAGTAACCACTTGTTCCATCAAACTGATGGAGTTGCCATTAATGAAATATTTATGAGGAGCTTAGAAAAAACAAAACTGAAATATACAGTGGAACAGATTTCATTCTATGCAAGATACGCTGACAATACATTTGTTCTCTGTAATCAAGCTGAATATTCCTCTCATTAACTAGTTTTTTTATTGAAGCACGCCACACTACAGAACTTACATTAAGTCACCCCTCTTAGATCTTGGCATACAACATTATACAGCTGGAAGGAATCATAGATACATTCACTGGAAAGACACATGAAGTGGGCTTGATATAAACTTCACCAGCTTCTGCCTAGTTAGTTGCAGAAAATGTCTAGTAGGACAACCTTTTAACTGTACGCGTAGACTGTGCTCTGAAGAGGAAATTGAGGAGGAAGCGGTCATTGTAAAACACTACCTGTGTGAATATGGTTGTCCGCAAAAAGTTCGTTGATAAGCACAATGGGACAGGGATGAGAAGAAATAAGCGTAGTACAGTTGAGAAGAAACCCATTTTCCAAGGGGGGATTAAGTTGCTGCATAGGTCAGTCATGAACTGAGTACTACACTGAAAAAACCTATCCAATCCCTAAGATAGTCTGAGTATCAGACCAACTGCTAATTGAGTTACTTTAAAGTGGGCAACTTCCAAACTCTTGTTACCTCAAACCGTGTCTACTAATCCACATCTACGTGTCGAAATGAATTCACTGGAAGAACAGAGAGCTGGTATCTTGTTCACATTTCTGAACATATCTCGAAGGATTTGAGTTTTAACGGTCTACAGGTTATGAGTAACCCAATGGCTCATCAATTACTCGGTGGTGAAAATATTTTTGAGGTATTAAAATCGTTGAAAGTGATCAATAAACAACTGGAACACAACCATTGTTGTTTTGCTGAGGGAGTTACAATTGAATTACTCGACCTTATTTACGTAATCAGGAAAATACTGTTGACAACCTTGCTGTACCTTGTTAAGTGTATTCTCCTAAATCTGTAACTACAAAATTTCATCACCTCATGACCCTCCGTTTGTTGACTTTCATCTTATCTTTCGATTTATCGCAAAACCCACTCTCACTTGCTGAGTTGTATTCATCCTGTTACCCACTCAATATAATGAAAATCTGTTAGCCGTTTAGTATGCTTACTTAAGCATGATGTCATTTGTACCAGTTCTAGAATAACATTTTGCACAACCTTTTCTCATTACTTGCCATCTCTAAAATTTTCATTTTATCACTGTATAAATAGTGAACCCTTTGAGAAGTCTCAATAACTTCATCAAATTTCACTAGTTTCAGACAACCTAAGTCTTTCTCACCTTCCCATTCAAGAGCTACAAATAAATACGAAAACTCCTTTATATGAGTAGTTTAATTTTTAGATGGGAGGTGTCAGAATGTATAATATTTACTCTGTAGATCCTTCAAGAAGCTAAAATCCAATAAAATGTCTAGAACCAACAAGAAAAATGAATATGCTTATAATTATCTTATTGGGCAGATTTAGCAGAAGTCAGCTACAAAAACCTTCCACAACTGCTCTTAAGTATCAAGGAAATCTGTATATACGTAAATATCCTACTTTTGTACGTTAGTAACCCTACAATATACCTTTGCTTGTCTTTTAACTTTACTTCTTCCCTAGAAATCGAGGGGATAGTGGAGTGAATTCTGAAAGTGAAAGTTATAACGAAATCAGAAATCGCTCCGAATGAACAACAAGATGAACTGGAAGTGCATAGTATAACAGAAGACTATATTAGTGTAGAATGACTGTCCAGTAAACATTGGGTTTTCACTAAACAATGAAAACTAATAAGTAGAAATACTTCCATTAGATAGATAAATTCAATAAATAGGCTAAATAGTTTGTACTGAAATGTTAATAGTGGGATACAGAAATCATCAAAACATTATTGCTTTTTTACCGCTTACCGACAAACATTTTTCATTAATATGAGTAAAAGAGGAGTTAGAAAAAAGAGAACATTAATGAGAATGCACGTGTAAATGATAAACGTATGAAAGTATATTTCTTATTAAGGAAACAGGAAATCAAATACGTCAATAACAATGACTGATATTTCTTTCATTGGTTATTCTGTGAATTAATTAACATGGATAAACTACATTTGCACACGGTAATTAACAAGCTGAAAAAACTGATAATCGTAGTTCACATTGATTGGCCTCTTGCTGGACTGGAGCATTTCAAGAGCTGAATAGCCCAGTGGTAAAGCCTGTGATTGCAGCAGACATTGGTGTGAGTTCAGATATCTGAGATGATATAATGTTCCACTCAAGGTTTGAGACAATCCTTACTAGTGAGTGCCAATTAACAAGAAATCCCATCTCATGACTTTCTGCAAATCGCCACCAACTAACTGACGTACTGTTTAAGCAGGTAGGAGAAATTATAAAGAAAAGCAAATAATCTAAATGGGTTTATTTTACTCTAATTATCACAAGATAGCCAAGATTTCATCCATTAGTTGTCCTAACATAAATGTTAACATTCTGAGCTTGACCCTACTTGCGATCATAAGCAAGGAATTCTGTTGAGGGGGAGCTGAGTAAGACAAAACACCCGTACATTACTCATCAGTTTCGAAGGATTTCGACCCATGGGATCCATCTTAAAAATGCTGAGTAAGAATATGGTTATTAGTTTGAATAGACAGGTTTTAGGTTGCAAACTAACTTAAACAGAAACACCTTCAGATTATGAGTTCTACCATTGAAATTTTGAAAGTCAATGAAGAATACTTCTTTGCCAATTACCAACTACTGTTACAAATTGATATGCAGTTGGAAGACGTAAATATTATTATATCACATTCCACTGAACATTATTATTCTCTTCGATATAAAGTGTAAAAAGAAGACTAATAAAATGACTGAAGAGTAGCTGGAATCTGTTTAACGATCAGGTGACAGTGTGTCTAGTAAAGTTACCAGTCGGTAACCGAAAGGTGATCGGCTTAAACTGAGTTGCAACTTAGGTTTTCGATCAAATTTAATCATTCTTATCCTTTTAGTATGATCGATAACATGTATAAGTGAGCAGATTTAATGAACTTGTAAACAGTAAAAATGATTTGGAGATGAGTTTATGTAAATATATAGAATCTGATAACTGAATATATTTCATGTATGTATGTGATGAAAGTCTGAATGACGACAACATTCGAAACATCAACCTCCTGGTTACTAGTTCAGCGCTGCAACAAATGAATTACAAGACCAAGAAGCTGATCAATTTTTCATTAACCAACGAAGGTTCTGCTCAGCTGTCAGTCGAATTAGTCGTACGTTACTGTTCATTGATCGTCAACACATACCAACTGCCAAACCAAATCGTTTTTTCACAATGCAAACAAAACAAATGAACTTAGATACAGAAAGCAACTGATCGGCTGCTGATGGAAATGTTTAAGGTGTGTGAGGCTTGGCAGACACGGGAATCGACCTGCTAATAATATACGGACGTCTCTTGCAATCTTATCTCCATTTATTTATGTTGACTAAATGCTGTAAAGACATCAGGAAAGTAAATTTTTTTGATAATAACAAAGCAGTACTGGCTGAATAACCACAGACAATTGAATGTTTGCTTAATCTTTTCAAGGTTACACATTCTGGATCATGGAAAGTAGAATTGAATTCAAAACCTTCAGATGTTTAGAACAGCACTTCCCTATGAATTAGTGAATTTTGAAAATTGAATCCATCGGGTTTCAAGTCATTTATGTGCTTGTCACAGGACATGATTCTGTCGATGTTCATGTGAAGTTCAGCATAGAGAAGGGAAATAGCTTTCCATTTTTTTCAAGTTCTCAGTGGTTATCCTCCCATTGAAAGTTCATGCTAGAATCCGTCTTTGAATGTGTTTTACTGTGGTCCCTTAGAGTAGTGATTCAATAAAATTTAATTAATCTTTTTGAAGCTATACTATGTAACTGTCTTTTTTTCATTCCTCTTTCATTTTCATCTGGAAAAAAATCAACATCACGAAATATTGATACAGGCTGAACGAGCAGATCGTGTAATACTGGACAAGCACTTCCAAGTAGGCATGGATACTTGTGTGTATAAAGACATAGAGGACGATACTGGAGTGCTTATAGCTGATATTATCCAGTATTACACATTACCAGATTCTGTAACATGCAATGTTGGAAAATATGAATTGGCTGGATTGTTGACGAAGAATTCTTTGCTGATCGCCATCTACGAAGTGGGTCACCGAATAAATGAATCAAAGAAGTTGTTAATTGAAATAAGAGATTATCTCGACAGCCAGGGAATGTAACTATTCTTTCGTTTTTATGACATTTCCTTCAACTGCTACCATTTATGGAATTTCTGTCATTTCATTATGATGATGAAAAACTCACTATCCAGTGTTCTATTTTGTGTGCAGTTATTTAACATTCATACTGGTTTTTGTGCATCTTAATTATGTGCTTGGAATTATAACAATTTTTACGATATTCTACTATTATTTTGTCAAAGATATCTACTATGCACTGAACAAATTATGAGCACAAATGTATCAATTTGTTCATAGATCAAGTGAGAAAGTTTTCTCGACATATCAATCAGCTGTTGTTAGTTAATCGGTTTCTGTCGGAAACTTTGATATTATTTAATGACGGCTAGCAGTGGATATCAGTGTATGTTTTCTGTCTTTTATATGTATATCCACAGCTTATCTTAAACCCGAACCCAGTTAACTGCCAGTAGCCCAAAACATGGTTATTATCTCTGAGGTAGTATTCATCACAGACTGACATCAGTTGGAGAAACATTGAAAACCTGGAAATACTGGACAGCTGTTTCGTTCTAGTATATGACTCCTTCGCCGTATGTATCTACGACCCCAACCATGGGTCGAACTCAGGATCTTAAGGTCTTGCAGAGAACACGTCAATCGTTCAGCTACTGGGTAGGAATTCAGTAACTCACAGTTTCCTACTTCTGTGAATTCTCGACTATCTACTAAGGTCTTCAGTTGGCATCCACTTCACTTTCGACTGGTTAACCCCACAGATCCATCTTGGAGCATGTCACTAGTGAAAATTATAGGTTATCGCAAGTTTTCCTGTTTACCATTCAACAGTTCAGTGGACAAGAGTAGAACACGTATGCACGTTAATTGATGAGTGATTACTTACCATCACTGCTCAAATAATTATTCTAGTGTGCTACTTTATTCCTTAAAGTGACTACAGGACTGCATCGATTTAAAACAGATACCTATTCAGCTAAACATTAAGGGTGCCATACTATCAACTTGAACGTGGTAAAATTTTTGTTATAATCAAGCTACTTTTAATCTCTTTATCTACCTATTTGTCATAAGCAACTTTTAAAAGTTCATCCACACATAAACGGATAATTGAAACCTATCAAATGATAATGACAGTTTAGTGGATTCCTTACATACATGAGTTGTGAGCTGAGAAGAATAACGGGTAACTAATCTTAAAAACATTGACATGAAACACGTGTTTCAGGGGACTTGTTAGAAGTGTCTAAAGCTTAGAAAAGTCAAAGACTGGCATATCAGGAAAACACTATGGAAGAGATTCTCGGGCAGTCAGCATCCTCCAACGGTTGAAATGACTTTATATGAATACGTGATTATACAATGCCAAAAAATCGGTATAAAAGTTTCTCTAGGAAACTCTAAAAGCTCAAGATCCCCTACAAATAGACACAGTGCATTGGTATTGTGAATTGTTACGCAAAGTTTGATCATCATTCTCATCATCATTATCAACATAGGACCAGGCATTACTGCGTAACGGTCCGAGTTGCCACACTCATATCAGCACATCAAGAAAAAGGTAGTGAGGTGAAGGATGAAGATAAGTGAAGCAGTCAAAAGAAATAAAGTATGAGAAGAAAGGAAAGAGGAGTGACAAAATAGTGAGATTCGGTATAGCGTTGTAGATGAGGATAATGTGTGTATACATCTGCGCCACTGACTTCGGTTCTGAGCCATATCACCGGGTCTCAACCACTGGTTCCTCTTGTCCCGTGGACCCCAACCACCTAGTCTGCATCGTCCTACATGGCTTAAACCAACAGTCAGAGACTCATACATTGGTGCCATGTTTTAGTCTGGCCACCTCGGGCCTTTTTCCAGCCTGAACCCACCTCAGCCAACATTGTGTGACGAGGCAATCGGTGACTAGGCATACGTAGTACGTGTCCCAACCATCTCAGTCGATGAAGGTTCACAACCTCGTCGACTGACTTACCTCTTCTCCTAAAACTCTACACCTAACTTCTGCATTACTCACATGGTGACACACGGAATAGTCCTATACTACGAAGGCAACGGTGGTCAAATACCTGTAACCTTCTCATGCTTCCACTTTCAATGGCCATGTTTCACAGCCATACAGTAGACAGAGCGGACTGCTGTGCAGTACACGCGACCCTTAATAGACAAACGAATATCACGGCGGCGCCATAGGTGGCGCAAATTGGCAAAAGCCAATCGAGCCTTTGTATCCGTGCAGAAATCTCATCGGCAACTAACCCACCGGGTTGATCCTACTTCCAGGTAAGTGAAGTGGTCAACACACTCAACCACTTCACTCTCTATTGTTAACCGCGGTACCGCTGAAGACCAGTCCTGGAGCAAAAATTTGCATTGGGTGGTGAAAATCGCATCCCAAACATTCTCAAATTCCCACTCAAAGTGTTCAGAAGACTCTGCATCTTGTCAGCGTCTTCACCACAGGACTATGTCATCGCATATTCTAGATCTAAGGAAAATTCACCTGTGTCCGGTCAACGTCTTTGTAATTAGGACGAGAGGAAACCTCCATAAGAATATCTATGATAAAATTAAATAAGAATGGGGATAGTGGGCATCCTTGACGGACACCACTTGATGAGTATAGCTCCCTGGACAACTCACCATAGGCTCTAACATGCCACAAGTGTTCGAGTAGAGAGCTTTCAATAAGGTGATGTACTTACTAGGCACGCCTTTCAGTGACAGACACTGCCATAAGACTTCCGATCAACGGAGTCAAATGCCGCCTTCAGGTCGAGAAATACAGCTATTGTCGGGCGTCTGTAAGCATGCCTATGTTCCAGGACCTGGCGCAGTGTGAATATTTGGTCGATACATCCACGGCCAGGTCTAAAGCCTGAAATTTGTGCTGGCTAAAATAGGCGGTTATCTGAGCATAGTTGTAATAGGCGATCACCGTTATCTGTACGTTCAGCTGGGATTCCGAAAGTGCCACCTAAGTGCCTTTCTGCCTCACTCAGTCTACCCACCTGTGCGTTGAGGTCACCTGCAACAACCACTACGTCCGAACGTTTGGCTTTCGAGAGGAGGTTAGACAGTTTATGGTAGAACTCGTCCTTCACTTCATCCGAACTACAGTCAGTGGGTGCGTAAGCAGAGATTACAAAGAGACAACGGCGAGTCTCACTATTCCTTTTAGTTCTCACTGTGCCGTTCAGCCTCATAGCGCAGAGGCGACTATCAACTGGGATCCAGTCTAGTAGTGAGTTTTCTGCCCTGGTGCTTAATGCTATACCTACACCTGCAAGACCACGAGAGCTAGCTATCGAATCTCCAGAAACTCGAAGGGTGAATTTGCAGATTCACCAGATTGGTCAGGAGAGGTCAGGTGAATAACCACACTTGGGTCCTGTATGCGTGTCTCACAAACACAGCACACATCCATGCCTCGAGTTGCTAGAGTCTTTGCCAACGAAGCCTGTTGGCCAATTTGACGGAGGGTGCGGACATTGAAGGCTCCAATATGTAATTTGGAGCGTGGTTTAAGGAGACCAGGGACACTGTTCTGTGGACTCAGATCGTTGTCGAAGGCTGCAGAGGTAGGAGAAATTGAAGATGATGCAGCATCATTAATTAAGAGACGTGAAGGAAGATTAGAAGGTAATGATGGAGGAGGATAGCAGTCAGAAGAAACTTGGGTGCTGACAGAGTTGTGAGGGCGGTTGACACTTCCCGGCTGCCCACACCGTGGAAGGCTATTTCTTCTTAAGGTACCTGAAAGAGATTTGTGTGACCGCAGAGCCCATCGGACATCTGCTTGAGGCCTGTCACACCCAGCCTTTTGAGTATGATTATTTTGAATTTTTGTATTTTTGGGGCCGGATGAGCGAAAGGAAACGACAAGTGAACCAACACCGCCGGCCCGGCAGACCGTGGGGCGTGGTGGAGTGTGTTATTTTTGGGGCCGACCTTTTCTAACCCCCCTTCCACTGAGAAGGCAGCATCAGCTTGGCACTGCTGGTCATCCAAGGGAAACACCTTACTGCTGTCACACCCCATCCAGCTAGCAGCAGTACGACTTCGCCCTCAGACCCCCATCATAGTATAGCAATTTACACTATGACGGTAACTGCTTTTCGTCTAACCACTACCCAACAGACCTTTCTGGTATGGTAGGACCTCGAGGGAACAAGCGTTCCACCAGCATAGCTCGTTGGGTCATTGTGATATGCAAGCCCGACCACCACGTCAAGGTAGCAGCTATCGGTCGGGAAAAAAAAAAAGTTTGATCATATTACTACCGTTTCCTCATTCACATAGCTAGGAGTATGGGAAGTTGTACACCTTTTTCTCAAGCGAGGTTTATTTCAAGGCATTATTCACCACAGACTGACATCAATTGGAAAACCTGGAAGCATTAGACAGTTGTTTTATCCTAACATGGGACACTTCAGTAGTACACATCCAACTGAAGACCTTGAGTGATAGTCACGCTATGTAGCGAATTGACAGAAGTAGGAAACTGTGGATCATCGGACTCTGATACACTGGCTCTTAGCACGAGACTCGAGGTTCCTAAATTCGATCGCTGGCGGGCGGGGTTGCAAGTGTACATTCCTGAGGAGTCCCACACTAGGAAGAAACAGCTGTACAGTACTCATATATTTTCAATGAAGGTGTCAGTTCATGAGTGCTACCTTGAAAATTCTAAAATTCCCATAGTTCTCAAACTGAATATGGGATTTATCCATGCATCAAGTTTTCATTAGAAACCATACAGTGAGAACAATATGTTGTAATCTTCACGATACAAGAGCTTTCTTGCAAAATAATGAAATACAAGAGCAAAAAGAATGAGTAACAGCCTCACCACAAGACAGTATCCGAACCTTGAAATGTTGAGTATTTTGCTGTAGTAGGTAGGGTAGAGTAAAACAATCCAGTAGAAAATCAGTTTGCTTGTTTAATTTCTAATGATGTTTGTACATCTGAGCGACAAGTTTCCAATGAAAGGGGACAGATTTAGTTTTCACTTGGTTTCACTATTATACTTTTAATGAAACAACAATTTCAAAGTATGCATACTTGACCAGCAAGTAAGAAATAAATATTCATCACCTAATTTATTTCAAGATACATCGATAAATAAACAAATGAATACATATCTCATTGTTTAACTCTAAGAAAAATTAAAATGTGGGAAAAGGGAATGTAAACAAAGCTACAAATGATTTATTTCACATACAAATACTCATTGTTTATAATGACTATTCTACCTTTGAATATCTTTGTCTAAGTTTGTGTAAGACATGAAATTCAGGTCTTTTAAATTAACTAAAATTAAAAATCTAGGTTGATACACTACTTATAAATGTCTGTACTCCATCGCAACTGTTTGCCCAGTATGCATATTCTAGGCATAAATTTCTAGACACACTACATGTTGAGACACGTACGTAGAAAGTCTAGACTAATAAATCGATAAAAATATTCAGATCGAAATACATACCATATTGTTGTGTATTTAGTGACAGTGTTCACGCTGTAACGATTAACTAGTTTAAACCTAGTAAATGATCTGAGCTGCAAAATGGGTTGTCAGGATTGACAACATTGTTAAGGTTAGTAGGACATATGGACAAACAGTGTTTTTTAGCCTTCATGTTTCTTTGATATTTTGCTATGGTAGCGGGGGGGGGGATTAAGTAAACAAGGAAGTATGAAATTGCGTAAGATAACATTTAGAAAAACTTTTATGAGCGTTTCAACACTGGAATACTTTTGTCTTTAAAAAGTTAGATTTAGATTATCGAAATACTAACCATAAACTGAGAGGATATATTTTATATAAAGTTGTCAAAGTGGAGAAAAGAAGTTTCCAATGGAATCGGTATAAACCTGTTAATGAGCAATATTTAGAAGTTCAGTTAAAAAAACAACCATTTAGCCTATACAATACCAGTGGGAAAACTGATGAAAACTTCAAGGTATTGATGATCTGCATCATCCTACTGCCAAGAACGTTTATTTGAAGCACTGAGTTGAAACTCGACAACTTACTTCGAAATCTGCCTCAATAAATGATATAAAGCTGTTACCTATCGGTAATTTTACATAGTTATTTTGACACGTTATGTTTTACACTTGAAAACTACTTTCAGAAGTTGACCACCAGAGAAATCACAGGGAGAAAGATGATGAAATAAATATGTAATCTAGGGAATTTACTCAATATAAGACTGATCACTAAAAGATAAATACTCGCCCAGAACAATGAATGAGAGTCAAGCGATATTACGAACTGAAAGTATTTTGAAATCGATCAGTAATGAATCTCAACATAATCCAGAAAAATAGAAAGTTAAAATCGGTTAAATAACATAGTAAAATACTTCTAGGTGACACGGGTGTGTTACGACCAAAATAAAATTATTCCAGTCAGAAAGCAGTGTGCAGTTCAGAATAGGTTTCGATCGACCAAAAGTATACGACTGCATCCTTTCTGTATAGTGCACTTAGCTTCCATGAGTTACGCATAGCCGAAATATATCCGAACGATAACAGAACACAAATGATATAGTTATATCTATGTCATATCCACATGAAATCTACGGTACTATTTTATCATTATACAATATAAAACAAAAGGGTGCCTCAACAATGCCACCTTGCTACCATACAGTCAATAATAAATCCTTTGATTCAAAATATCGACCTACGTGATAAAAAGGGATCAGTAAGTGATGAAGATCAGATACTCACAAATACTGATAATATTTTCAACAGAATGGGATCACAATTCTGTCTACAAGAATCAAATCAAGCAACAAACGTTTCAAGTAGACAGTCAAAGGATAAGCAGTCACTTCACAGCGCAACCTTGAGTGGAGCGAAAACAAAATGTCAGCAACAGTAAAACAACACCACATTATCAACAATCCACCATCACACAATAAAGAAGTGGAGCACTAAGGATAAATCTAAGTCAAAACAAAGACAAATAGTAAGTGTTAGGTCAAAGAAGACGGACAAGTGATAAAATGATATTACGCAGATCAGGGGGTGAAGGATAATGTCCATATAGAGAATGAAATAATCCAAATAAATATCAATACTGCCAAGTAGAGTGCTCAGAAGGGATTTTCAAATCATTTATTTCGTTACAGGGTCAAAGACTGAAAATGAATGAGGTTTCTAGTGGCACTGGTAATGACTTATTCATGAGTGAAGAAAAGTAGGAATTTCATATATTGACCAGAAAGTAGAACCGTTCGAATAAGAACTCATCGTTAGGAATTCATCACCTGCCTTACTTGATTGATTGTAGGCTATTCGACTTATATCTTAGCCACATCTTTGTGTATAAATGACTGTTTTATTTCAATAATTTTCTGATATGGGTCATCATTTCAGTCCTTCGGCATTGGTTCAGTAATCGCTAAATTACAGTGCAACAATAGTATCGACGTTCTGGATTCAGTATTCAACTCAACATCAATTCAATATTTCAATTCACATGTCAGAATATGATTAGAGCGATACCTATCCATAAAGAGTAGCCTATCTGCACATCATGTGTTTACCAACATGGTTATGGCAAACAACTTAATATGATCACCTACATACTACTTAGTAGTAGACGAAACAATATAGAGAAATTCTTTTCCATCGATTAAAAACATCGGAATGACGATGGGGAAGGAAGATGCATTCACACCAAGTCTACAGGTAACTGACCTGTTGTTCCATAACCTAAATTAAAAGAAACATCAGCTAGGATTGAGAACCTTCTCTTACACATAGGACAACTTGACCTTGCTATCACCTGCTTTTATTTCGGTACAGTAGCTGTCTATTCAGACACTCACAACTTACTTTGAATTAAATCAGAACGATAAAAAAACGATTTATACGTAACTAGATTATATGAATTGAAAATGGTTATAGAGTAACTAGTTTTATTAAATAGATGCATAATTAACAACTGTTTCTGATTAAACCTTTTATTTCCAAAGTGCAACACAGAAATATAACAGGTGTTTATAACGATGATTTGTAGGACAGATATACAAAAGATAGCTTTCCACAATAAGATTTGTCCCTTAAAATCTTATTTGTACTCACTATCTTTCTATAAATCAGAGTACATTGCTGTAACTACGATCCCATATACAGAAACATTTTTTGTTCGTATGAATTCGTCGTCAGTGAATAGTTAATCGGTGCAGCTGTCAAGTATTTAGTGCTTAGCACTGACCGAAATTCATAAAGTTTATAATATTGCCACTAAGCTAAATAGTGCAACTATGCAGTGGACTGTGGTTTACTGTTAGCTGTGACAACAAGTGCGAGAGCTTACTGTCAACTGACTCCTAATATTTAACATACTTTATCATATCAAGAAGGGCAACATATGCGAAAAATAAACCATTTCTATCTCTAGATTTCTCGTCATAGTCTACAATTTACAAAAGGTTTGGTTATTATATAACAAGAGAAACTGGATCGGAGCTTGATAACAGATACGATTCACAATGATGTTTTCATTACAAATAAGGGTGAAAAACTGCGTATTTACATCTCGCTAGAAACAAAATTTGTAGAAAATTAAAGAGGAAGGTGAGAAATAACACATGATATGAACATAGAAAGTAGTTGGAAGCTATTTGCTGACTAACGACTTCAGAAAATGGAAGTACGATCGTTAGGTTTTGTACCCAGAACCTTTTCCACTCGATCACTGGGATCGATCTCTTGCAGGGCCTGGAGTTCACAGTATCAATGAGTACTAAACTAGGATGAAGCAACTGTTCAATGATACTCCAGCTGACGTACATCCATAATAAAAGGTACTTTGAAACTGATCGATTCCCACAAAATACCGATGGTATCCATCTATCTTTGCAATATTTTCTGATTCAGTGTATTTTCCCTCACCCTTTTGTGAAAGAATGATAGGTGATTTCATGTAGGGTGACATTTTATGGGCGTCATAAGTTGTATAATCTGACAAGTGGCGACTGAGATCCAGTTGACAGGTAACGTATCAGAAATGATACAACTATTCAACTAGGTGAAATGTCCAGTGCCAAATAATGAAAATATTAGAAACAGCCAATAATTTTTTTTCAAATAAGCAATAAATTTTCATTTCTATTGACGAATTATGCTTATTGGAAGAAAAAAATTAAAGCATTATCACGAAAACACTTTATTATTGTTCAGTAAACATGATGATGCTGTCTTTCGAATGATACAAAAGGAATCAAGAAGGAAATTGACCACAGAATTAGGCTCCGAAGATAAATCCAATTGTACATTGTTGTTGTTTGTATCCAACCGTAAATTGTGTAATGAGGTTAGTAATTTCTGAAAATAAAAATGACAACTAGATGAACTGAACTACTCAGGTTTGAGAGGAGCAAGTCATCCTTTCGATAAGTAGATATCTGTTGAATAGTCAAAAAAACGAATCAGTTCTGGTATTCTTTGTCATCTACTGTTAGGCATCATGGTTACACAGTTTTTAAGGAAAAGATGTAAAGTCATATGGTAGAAACAGGCAGACAAAATCAACGTAGAATCTCGCACACAAATGTATTCGCTCAAGTTGACACACTTCACAGTAGTGCACACAAAAAATGGGTAGAAGAAGAGTGATATCAAAGTAGACAAAGTTGTGTAAAAGAAAAAACAATTTGAAGATAACGGTTATTGTGAATATCCAAGCTTTGGACGACGTCAAGAAGTGAATGCATCTGTGCCATTGTGACCGATTTCCAAATATATCATCAAGAGTTTTCAACCACTGATTCTTTTCCTCTCGGGGTCCCTAACCTGACAGTCTAAATCACCCCACATGGCTGAGACCAACGGTCACAGACTTCATCGACCGGTGTCATGTCTTTTTTTTGGCCAACCTGAACCGTCTTCCAACCTTACTCAATTTCTCCTAGCACGGTACGTCGAGGTAGGCGGTGGTTCAGCATGCGCAGTATATGTGTGCGGCTTTCTGGGAGAATTTCACAGTATCCATAAAGTCGATGACATACGCAAGGTAAATAAGTTCATTTCACATGTTGGTCAGGGATTAGAAAATAGTTCTCACTTACATATTTAAGCGGATACAGTAAAAGACAATGTCTTGATATTCCATTCATGTACCTAACAATCCCCTACTCAACGCCAACAACTTTTCACGCAATTTATGACTTGCTTCCAGATCACGGTGTAACCTCCTCCAATTACTCTTTGTTTCAATCACAACCGAAACAGCATCAAATCTCGTAGTAAAAAAAACAGCCAGAGTAAAAGGAAGACCTTTACTAAGTCAGTAGAGATTAAAGAAAAAGGGACAGTTTATCAGCCTTTTTTATGTTACATCCGAATTCGGCGTTGCTAATGTTAATAGCTGAGTGTTGGCAACAGCGCTGGTTAAATGCTTGGAACTCGTTTCAGTTACGCTGAAAACGTTATGTTTATAAAACATACTTATGGAGTGGCGACAGGAGCATCAGTTGTGGAGGTGGGGTGGTTTAACTGAGGTTTTTTTTCATGTGATGTCATAAAACATAAGTAATTCTGCTAGGATGAAAAACCACAGTATCACGGCTAGTAAAGTAAAAATTCTTGAAGAGAGACTCGTTTGGATAGCGTAGTAGTAATGCGGTTAAAAATTTTCGTCTATCCTTTTTCAATAGGTTTCGGAAAATGGGAATATGCAGACAAAGTTCATTTTTCTTCCTAAACCTTAGCTATTCGCTAACCAACATCGTCTACTTAGATATTTTGTGTTCAGATGTGTCAGCGACTAGAATAAGTTCCGACTCAACTGCCATCTCAGTGTGGTGACTAGACAACGGTGGAGACAACGAAGTCAAATTCCTATCACAATAAGAAAAATCAACTGATTAGTGGTGAAAATACGAAATAATTTGAGTTAGAACATGATAAGTTTAGACTTAGGGGATCTTCTTTAGTTGACTAGACTATCATTTCCGACTATAGTGTTTTACTACTCTCAGTAGGAGGAATTTCAGTGATGAACACTAGGTACGGTGTGCTGTACGTTGTCGAATGACCTGTTGAGAACAATAAGAATTTCCACAGAACAGATGCAACAATGCATTCTTTGTCACTCCTGAAAGACGGAAGTCAAGTTGTTTTCCATACACTTTACAGTCACGCAACACTAGTTTACTAAACGTTCAGATAAGAAAAATGAATTTCTTACAGTCTTGTTATACTTCAAACAGTATTTAGGTATGTTATTGGTCATCTCAACAACTTACTTGATTGAACTTATTTACGACTCGTCTCTTTGCTTAAAAATAGTGGTAACTTAACAATTTTTCTTGTAGCATCAATGATACGACAAAAGTTGGTGTGCACAAATGAAACCAGATTAAACGAAGGGGGATTTTCACTGATCTAAGCAAAAGTTACATTAGTGCTTAATATGAGAATAATTTCTGGCTGTAAATGTAGTAAAGGACGTATTTCGAATCTTCATCTCATCTGTCTTCATATAACGCATACAGTTTTGATCCAAGGTATGGTACACGGTTGAGTGATCAACATAAGGTAATCTATTACAACTGGGATGGTCATCAGGAATTTAGTTTCTTTACCTCAACCACTTTAAACCTTAATATCTATCATGAAATAAGATCACATATATCAAGACATGATATGAGATGACGGAGACTTAGAGATAGGTGCATATTTTCCTTTCAGTTCATAGATTACTTATAAGTGACCATCCAATCGGATAAATCTTTTCATCGGTAAGATGAAAACAGTTATCAAAGCAATCGAATTTCAGTATACAACTACAACGAGAACAACACAATAGTCATTATAGACCAAAATCTCCAATGTGAATTCAAAAAATAGTGGATCTTGCTTATCATTTCTCGTATTTCAAATAGCGCAGCAAATACAGGATGTATGTCTCAGAAAGATAATCATAAAGGGGGTAAATGATACTTGTCGCAACAACAACAATTTTTCACCTACCTTAAGAACACAGCACTCCAATCTGAGTTGCTCAACACTAGGTTTTACAGTTTCTGTCAAGTTATTCTAAATAGAAAATAGAATATAAAAAAGGGTATGAATATTGAACAATTAACGGATAATTTACAGATAAGAAATTTAAACGAATAACAGAGAAAAAAATTAAGACTGAATAAATCCATGAGCTCCAGGAGTACTCGTCGAGTGAATTCTCAACATTCTTGTAAATAAATACACACCATGATATCGTATAAGACTAAATGAAGACACAGATAACAAGAGCTTAGAAGAAGAAAAGGAATACTTCATAAAATATTTTTAACGAAGATCCAGATTAAATCATAGATGGGAAAAAGTATTGCATAATGTGTAAAACAATACAGAGTAGAAACGTATTTTTGAGATGAATGGGGATTTTTTATTTTAGAAGTAGTTTTCATCATGGACTGACATCAGTTGGAGAACCATCTAAAATCTGGGAGCACTGGACAACTGTTTCGTCCTAGTATGGGACTCCTCAGCAGCACGTACCCATGATCTAGCTAGGGATCGAACTCAGGACCTTCAGGTTCCATGGAGGACGCGTTAACCATTCAGCCACTGGGTCGGTTTCCAGTGGTTCACAATTTCTAACTTCGGTCAATTCACGACATAGCGCGACTATCACCCAACGTCTTCAGTTAGCATCCACCTCACTTCCGACTGGTTGACCCCACAAGTCACAGCTTCTCATTAGAGCTTCCTGGTATCCATCTGAAAGCAAGTGACTAATCAGCACTATATAGCAATGCATCTTTGAGATGAATGGGGATCTTTTATTTTAGAAGTAGTATTCATCATGGACTGACATCAGTTGTGTATCAAGTTACCAAGTTGAATGACGCAATATGGTTAAACGGACTGATGAATGTAATGAGAAATCAGAATTTTAAGGATGGGAGAACGTGATATGTTAGAAACGGAGTGAAAAAAAAAGATTTTGGGAATAAAGTTTTCTTACAAGTCATATGCATTTTGAAATCAAGTGATTGGACAAACGTTTTCTGAATACACAGTCTAGCCTTTAAAATATTAATTGTCATGGCTTTTGCAATTTCATTCAAACAACTTTCACAAGGTTTCCACGAAATCCATAAATGACACTGAAATTGTTTTCTGTATTCACTGGGTAGTCAAAATAAATAAAATGTTCTTCTTTGTATATATGCTCGAAGATATGTTTAGATATTGAACGGTGTGTACGGGGAACATACCTTATTAAACAGCAATAGATGAATTGATAAACATATCAATGTGGTCAAGTGAGCTACCATCTCTTTCAAAGCATTAGATAAATAGAAAAGGGGGTAGTCTGATTTTGGTAGTATAGGAGGCCTCACTCAACAAGCATGTCAAACTACTTCTTAACATAGATATTAACGAGTTTGCACTGAACCGTAAATTTATGAAAAAGTTTATTTAGAAACCGTGAAGTAAGATGGTTTCAGTGTCATAGTTTTTACAGTGGAACTTTCAGAACACTACTGTTTGGTCAAAATGTTTTTACCGAAACACGAGAAGAAATCTGATTCGTACTTTCTGTTATAGAACCCGCAGTATTTCCGGTCATAACACTTTGGAAGATGAACTAAAGTGAATAAATGAATGGAGTGCAATCCACAGCCTTGGGCACATTTGTGCGGTAGGCAATCAGCCACACCTATAATGATACTGTGACTGCCAAAACCTCAGTGGGTGCAGCGGGGCTCGGACTCGTGACCCAATGGTTGAAAGATATCTCCCTAAACGAATAAGCTACGGCCCCACGGAAGATGACCTAAATTTATTTAAAAATGTTTTGATCAGTAACCAGTCTACTAAGCGTTTCATATTAAAACCTATGAAACTGAAACCCTAGGTAGTCATTTAACTTCTACGGTTCCCGAAAATACTCTTTCCGTTAATTTACAATACAATAGAATTTTGAAATGAGGAACAAATATCGTGATATTAAAGTGACAATCGAAAGATGTGGGTTGGCAAGGACAGATGTGGTTAAAATATGTTGTAAATACAGTCACATCCAAGGATTCCCATGAAGTTATAGAAAAGAAAAAGTAGGTTACAGCGAAGATAACTAACTTTCTGATGAATCATTTTCATAGCTGTGCATTAGAAAATATATCAGGAAAATGATAAAGTGTTTCAGATAACTTTCAGGTTAGAGTTAAGCGATAGATTTAGAGAAGGAATGAAATTATAATAAGTAACACAAGAAGTTTAATAAAGTTGAAGGAAAACTCATTGAACGGTAAGATTTGATATCCAACAAATAAGTGAAATACAGAAATAAAACATGAAAATTGGTACAAAGTATCTGTTTAAGGTCACGATAAAGACAACATTTGTACATGTCTTTTCTGAATACACAATTGAGGTTTGAAGCTATGAATTGCCAAAGTTTTGGCTGCACTGTGTCTAGTTCTTACCTCTTTTGAATGGTTTGGTCGAACCTTAAAAGAACTTTGAACAGGGTTTCCAGAGGAGTCAAATGTCTAGCGTATATGAGGTGTTTAACAATGGAGGTGGAGAAGGTTTTGTGCTCACGTTTTAGCAGCCAAGCTGGATAATGGTTGTGATTGCATTTGACTAGCCAACGCATAGTGCGCCCGACGTACTCAGTTACTTGGCAGACTAGTCAGTTGGGGGTCCACGGGACAAGACAAACCAGAGGTTGGAAACTCTGGGTGATATGACTCAGAACCGATGTCAGCGGTCCAGATGTATTCATACATTATCCTCATGTTAACTGCTATACTTAATCTCATTTCTTCATTCCTTCTTCCCCTTCCATTTCATTGCCTTGTTACTTGATGTGAAACTTGGACCATCACGCAGTAGTGCATAGTCCTATGTTAATCTGGATGATGATGTACGCAGCTCCATAGAAGTAAACGAACTTGTATGTACACATTCATGAGACCTAATGCATAAGCTCGTCATTCACGGGCTGATGAACCAACTGTTGCCTTGAGAAGACAATACGGAGATTTGCAGCATAAAATGTCCTAAGGGACTTTGAAAAACATTGGCGGAGAATGTCTGCGGCAATAACACCTTTGAATCTAAGGTTCACTGGGCGTATTTTTTTCAGGACAAACTGAATCTGTTCCACAATCTTATTTTCTTTCCTATTCTTCTCCAACAGTATTTTTCAGGGAGTTTCTAGTTCTTGAATAAGTGTATCATCAGTGCATTTCTTTCTTATTCTTGATGAGATTGGTCGCACATGATTCCTCTTTTAACTTAAAGACATTCAGACTCAAAGTTGATCACTTCCTGCTCCAATCGAACTTCTTGTAGATAGATCTTTAAGTGGAATTGTCAGGTTTTCCTTGACGTTTAACAGCGAGAGAATGAAGCATCAAGCTCCATTCAGCTTCAGTGTGAAATAGCCTTAGAGAGACTGTCATTGAAATTTTGAAGGTGTTCCCGGTCCAGGTTATCATTGCAAACAATGAAGGCGTCGTCTATGCATCCATTATATATATGAAGCTGACTGAATGTTGGGAGCTATTCTCACGGCTAACTACGAAGTAATAGACAAGGATAAATGAGGTAATCTTATTTCCACACCGTCAATCGTTTGTAAGTCCCATCATTAAATTTGAAGTGAACTTTAACGTACGTCTTAGGAGTTCTTTCAGGTACGTGACTTGGTAGCTCAACATTTAGATTTTTGGATTGAATGAAGTTGCAGAAGAAACAGATTACTTTTGTAAATGGTACGCTTGTGGACACTGACACGACGTCCAATGAAACCATCCTTCTTCCGAACAGTCTTTTAATAGCTGTTTTTTAGCACGCCCGAGAATTTCCACCTGTTATTTTGCAATTGTGTGGTCTGGAGAGTTTATCACACCCAGTGTTAGACGGAGAGAGACGCCATCTGTCTGAACTTTTGGCAAACCATACAAACGTGGATCGACAGACGGGAGAAGTTTTTCGTAGAGACTACTGGTAACGACTGGATCAACTTTCATTTTCACTAGTAATTTGGAGAGCTGCTTTCCTTTTTGTTCAATTTGGTCTTCTGATACACTGGCTTCGAGGATTTCTTTTCACTTGACGAAATAAGTAAAATCTAATTCCAGTAGTGAGTACTGATCTTGATAATTTGAAATGAACTGCTTTACACTGCCGAACGGTAAACCCATAGTTTTCTGTGGACAAACATGTTTTCATGATCTATTGTGAAAGTGAGGTTTGGATCACATGAGGCGAAGCTCTTCAGTAGCATTTGTGCCTCTAATTCGCTTCCATAAACAATAAAAATATCATTCATGATATGGCTTTTAAGCGAACACCGGGGGAAAAATGCTTCAAACACCTTTCAGTTGCACTAAAGTGTAGCTCATTTCAACATTACTGGTGAGCATCTTGTTTCATTTAACGGGATCAGAGATTTTGCACGCATAAAATTTAATGATATTCCTATCTCAGGGAATAATTTAAGGAAGCTTTTACTTGTATATACTAAGAAAACACAATTTCGGTTTGTTGAACAGTTATTTCATCAAAAGATGGAACTACAATGAGAAACCTTTAGAGTATCACTTTTACCGATTGGATTCTTCTAGTGGTGAAAACTAGCAGCTAAAACAAGTACATAAGTTGTACCGAGAGCTGCTTATCTACACGTATACTTGAGGATTTACCTAAGTGATGGAGGCACACAGGAAAGAAGATTCCACGAAACTCGATAAATAAACAGTTAACGACTTACGAGTAAGATACTTATGGTATCAAGTCTACAGATGGTAGGTATCAATGGAGTATTCTATATGCAGAGTGAGATGATTTATTTAGTGCATAGAGATACTACAAGCTATACAGTTGATGAATTTTTATACAGTTTAAAGAGTTCTCAGCGAATACCATCATTATATTTTATGCAACTGACAACATTCTGACTTGATAACTGTGGTTATTAATGTAAGAAAGATAAGTTGTTGTGTCATTACCACATTTTTAGTAAGTGCCAAAGAGAGTGTAGCGTGCATCAGTTTCCATACTCATTGACCATCAGTTTTTTCGTGGCATTTCTCGTATGCAGTAGAATCGCTATGTGAGCAGTCAACGTTAGGTGTAGAGTATAAAATAAAGGAAGGTACGTTAGTGGATGAGGTTGTGTACCTTCGGTGACTGAAGTGGCTTGGGCATGTATTGTATTGTATTAGGAAGAAAGCTTAAGGTTACCAGATCAAGAAAGACAACCACTGCATGAATATTTTTGACTGCTGGTTTGAGCGATGGATGGTGTGACAGTAAACAATAGTAGTTGGAAGCACAAGAACTTGGTTATTTTACTATAGCGACTGAATTTATTCCTTGCATTTTATCGCGAATATTGATGATGATGACAATAATAGTAATAATTTATTCTCCCATAGTGCTACTTGAATGACTCAATTATAGGGTAATTTCAGTAGTATATACACTACGGATTCGCGTTTAACAGTTAGCCAGAACACCTTTCTTGTATAAGTACACAAAAAAGTTGGATCAACAACAAATAATAATGCTAGTATACATACCTTTTGTGCTATTTGCTGACGTAGCTCGATAGCTTTAAAGGTGGACCATAAGGTTATTGAGCAATTAGAAGATATAGTACAACACCACGTGGTACTATTCCCATGGCAGCTACTTATTTTTTCTACATCATTGCCCAAATTGTTTATATCTAGATAAGGAGACCATTGAAGTCGAATAGACTGCTTTGTTAAACAGTTATAAAATAGACAGTATCGACTTTTGATGATTGATTCCAAACAGTCTTCTTGATTATTCTGCGATGATGGAATTTTCAAAGCATCTAGGAGAAATGTACACACAAAGGAAATTCTGAATAAGTTATTTAACTTCGATGCATACCGATGAGTAAAATATTTCTTGCCTACCTCTGATTAAAGAAATATTATGCGAATAGTTTGCATGAAAAAAGTGAAATATTTAGGAAAAGGCTGACTGGGAGAAGAAATATATTCCTTTTCAATTAGATCTTCCTCTTCGGCTCTACACTAATATATAGTTTTACAATTTAATCAAATTACCAACCAAGTGGTGGTGGACTGGTGAACAATAATTACAAACTTTAATTAAGTCATGAAGATGATGTTTTAGAAATAAAATTGCAAATAATCAATAGAGTAATTAAGATTAGAAATATGAAGCTGAACGAAACGACTAGCCGGTTGGAATAATACTGCAGTTATATGGACGATACCTTTATAGTTCTCAAAAGTGAGATTGATAAGAATCCTGTTCTGAATAAGTTCAATAGTGTTCATCCCGCAATCAACTTCACAATGGAAGAAGAGAAAAATGACAGTATCCCGTTTGTTGATGTTCTGCTGGTGGGAAGGTTAGAAGGAACCCTGAAACGAAGAGTATATAGAAAGCCAACATCGACAAGCCAATACACACTTCAGTGCCGTACCCCTCCAATACAAAAGGAACCTAGTGAAATCCTAGCATAACGAGCCACAGCTATTTGCTCAAATGATGCTATAAAGGAAGAGTGCGCCGCTATCCGTGATCTGCTTGGTAGGAATGGTTATTCAGACAAGTTTGTAACTAAGCATATGAATATTACCACGCTTAAGACAAGAACGCCAACAGTTCCTAAGAAGCAAATATTCGTGAAGCTGGAATTTAAGAGTGACATTCACAGTGAGATCATCACACAACGCATAACAAAAGCCTTGCGAAAACCACTCCCACCCGCTAAATTATGTCCCATCTTCTACAACCGTGCGATTCTAGGTGAAAGAAATAAAGACAGACTGCCTGGTTCTGACACTTCAATGTGCATTTATCAATCCAACTGCTCCTCTGGAGCTAGTTACCTTGGGCGTACAATGAGGCAGTTCCATCGTCGAACTTCTGAGCACAACCCCATCACGGTTGAGCAAGAGACAAATTAGAACAAAAAACAACTCCATACCTGCACACCTAGTGGACTCGAGACATCAAGTTGATACTAGAAAAGCTTTCGAAATCATCCATCAAACTCCAATTAACTTACCACATGGATAACGCACTCGCTTACTTCACATAGCAGAGGCGATTGCAATCCACCCTTACAAACCTAGCCTTTATATCCAAAGAAGTTTTTCGACCACTTTCATCACCGTGGTCGTCAACATGATGTAACTTCGAGTATTACTTTGTACTTCTCTTCTTGTTTCTACTAATGTTCATGTGTTTTCTGAGTATTACGTAATAATCTATTGTTTGTGACTGAACACTCATCAAAAGTCACTCCATTTACCTGAGAATAACTTGCTCCATATAATTCAATCGTAATTACTATATTGATTATTTACATCTTTATTTTTAAATCACCACCTTCATGACTTAATTAAAATCTGTAATTATCGTTCACCAATCCACCACCACTTGATTGGTATTTTCACTGAATAGTAAAACCTATATACTAGTGTAGAGCCGAAGACGAAGATCTAATTGAAAAGGAATATATTTCTTTGCTCAATCAATCTTTTTTCTAAATGTCTAAATGGGAACATTCAATGTACTGAAAAGTGAAATAATAAGGTTAGATGTTGTGACACCGTAGATAACTTCAGTATTTTGAAAAATAAATCTGATCACTGGCTAAAGTATCTGAATTTCGAGAAATGGATTCTCAATTTCAAACTGAGCATTAACTACTTTAATCAAGCTAACCAGGTACTACAATCAGCCCTTACATAATAAATGCTGCTGCTCATCCCTTAGCTTATAAATCCCCGTACTGCGTTGAGTAGGATCTGCAATGTCAAATAAAACCATCATTGGTTATAGATGCAGTTGAAATGTTCAGGAAGAAACTGATTTGTATTCATGAATTGGTAGTTAGATGGTAACTAGTATTGTGGATATTGATAAGCGCCTGTTTTTAAAATAGCTCAAGCGTAACATTTTAAACTTTAAAGGGTTTGAATCCTTTCTGGGATGCAGATATATCTAACCTATATAGCTTTAAAGTGTTTTTAATATGAGTTCTATCCATGGCCTTGCGAAACCTAGCACTAAGCAAAGTGCATCATAGTGTACCGATTATCATAATGGGAACATTGAATTTCTTGAAAGATAAACAGATAAATAGCAAAGAACAAAACAGTCCTCACAATCATACAACAAACAATTCTTGAACGGGGAATAATAATGATAAGAAACTGTTTCAGTGATTTGTAGAACGCAGTCTTACGACTGGTTTACAGTAAGAATTTAATCAACTTAAATTTCATGCATCCATAAGGACATCGGTGATTAAATGTGTAGTATCAAGTGGACAGCGAAAATACGTGAACTTTGGCAAAGGAGACATGAATAAATGAAATCCGCTTAGCACCTGTGTGCACATTCGTGCAGTTGGTAATGAGCCACACCTATTGTGTGGGGGCTAATACTACTAACCAGCTCCCCAAACCTAGGCAGGTGAAAAGGCGTTCAAACCCATGACCCAATGGTTAAAAGTTAGCCTTTTAAACTAATGAGTCATAAATCCACCAAAGAAGGTGTAAAGACGTATAATCAGACTCATACTGTTCACTCATAAGGAAGCAGGACTTGATTTACAAAGAAAAGTAGAGAACTGTGATGATACTGACATCATCCCAACAGACGACAACACATAGATTTCAGGAATCATTATTGACCTACAAAGATTATTATTACGAAAAGCAGCATAACCAAAGTAAAATGCTATCAATACAATTTCCAGGATATATATATATATATATATATACTTACGACAGAGAAAAACAGAAACAGTAAATGAACATTACAAATTAGGTCTAACAACAATGTCAAAGACGCTCAAAGATACCGTTAAGTTATACAGAACAACTCAATAAATCAGTTTTTCCCTCAAAGAGACCACTGTCAGAAGCTGTAAAATCATATTTCCACTGATTAACCGCACAACAGTCCATACTACTACTACTACTACTGATAATAATAATAATAATAATAATAATAATAATAATAATAATAATAATAATAATAATAAATGTTGTTTTCCCATCACAATCGACAACTTTATGAGAGAGAAAGATAACCTAACCAATCAATGTCAGTTAAATTTGTAGGGAGGAGTAATCGTGATGTGGAGTTAAGGATGGTTGACCATGTACCTAAGTGGTTTGAAAAACAAATTTGATAAGTGCAAGTGAAAAAAGTCTATCTTCATCTAAACATTTTTAATCAAAACATATACCAGAAACTAGTCATATGGTAGACAAGAAAATAGTTTTTAAAGTATTACATAAAAGTGGTCAGGGTCGAGGGCTTACATTTATTAAAGTTCTGGCCATCTGTATATATACAAATTACCTTGTCAGTATCGATTTTAATTTTCATGTCAAGAATGATGTGACTTAGATTTTGTTTTGGTTCTACCCTTCCTACTGTTATGTTTCTTACTGAGTTAAGTGAAGTTTGCATAGATTTTCGTATGAATAGTTCAAGTTCATGTGTTTGAAATATATAGCACTCATAAATCGCGTTACAGATCATCTTCGTCTTGTGATAGGACTGCTAAAATTTATGTGCCTAGCAGCCTTAATAACGGGTGCAAACGTATAGTACTATTCATATGCTACGCATATACGATTTCAATTGTGATGTAAGGGGGTTAGGGTTGGTGGGTCTAATAAAAGGAAAACATATGGAACACGACGAATAATAGGACTGTGGTGGTGATTTTGAATTTATCTATTTTGCACATCATCGGTTATGTGACTGCATTTCATAAAGCATTTAGGCTTGAGTAAAGTATGCTGTCCTTGTTGATAATAAGCTCAAAGTTATAGTTATCGATGAGCGTATTTATTCGGTGTCTCTAGTCGTAGAACTCAGGATGTGCTTATGATGTTGGTGACTCTGATGAGGTTGATATCAGCGGTGATCGACTCAACGGTCGTAGTGTCACCCACTAGGAGGTTGAATTCAACAACAAAAAACATTTATGTAACCAATATTTCCTGTTAGTTATTCCTAGTGAGAACGACAACATTATCGGGAAATCCACTCAAGATAGACTGAATAATTAATTTCATCCAAGGAAAAATGATAACTAACGTCTACTAACACATTAGTATCATTTATGCATTCAGAATATTATTTACAAAAGAGTGTGAAAAGTCAAATGCGGGGAAATTTTTCAAAAAATCAAAAGATACTACTACTGAACAACTCCAAAAGTTGGAAACCACTCATGGTCATCTGTAGATTTCACCAACCAGATCAAAGTGATCCAAACACCGGACGGTCGTTTCGCTCGTTTGGGGTCGAGCTTATGAGCAATGTATCCGGACAAGTCCGGCTCACAGAGTCGAATTGGATGGGTGGTTTTCAGCGGAAACCTTATTGACACCACAGTTGAGATGGGAGTTAGAAAACTACTCAACCGTGAGAAATGTCAGCGTGGACCGTGCAATTTGTAGATGATTGTCTACTTTCTACCTACCAAACCCATGTACAATAAATTCCGATCTACTTATCGACAAAGGAATTTTCGCACAAACAATGCATAGCTTATCAATATCAAGCTAGACCAAAAACAGCCTTCACATTAGTTTGCTAACAGTAAAAAAATAGTCTATAGTCTTTCGGAACAAAAAATCAAATAAACGGGTCACTATGCTGTCTGGCGACGGTTATTATCAAAAACTGACGCCCATGTTATGAAATCATAAGAAACTGCAGTTCTAGATACCTACTGATACTTGTAATCTCCCGTTGGTAAACTGGGTCGAATTACTCGACCTCTGTTAGCAGATAGGCTCCTAAGCAGATCCCTTGATACCATCCGGATATTCATTATATTGTGGTCTACTTGATGGCTAGCAGTGGAATTCAGGATGAGACTCGAATTCAGTACCCATCGCTCCAAACACCAAAACGTTATCCACTAGGCCACTGGAAGCACTTATTTATCTTGTGGTATTATAGGACTCACCAAAAGTGTACATTTCCAACTCATTTATAAATCAAATGTGTGAAATTTAAGTCATGCAGCAACTGTGTTTCTGTTGATTCAAAGTTCACAGGTAAAAGTCAAAGTATACCAAAGTTTTAATACTCAATTCACATTAAACATTATTATTGAGTATTTGAAAAACAACAACCACTGAGTTGTAATCCATTAGTACCAACATAACATACACTTCAAAAGACTTAGAAACTAGTTAACAGAAAGTGTCAGCGGTAAACACAAATATGTAGTCTCGAATCAGCATAAGATAAACTGTTCAACATCCACCACAATCGATAAGATTTTTCACTGAAAACTATTTCAAATGTCTCCCCTTACCTGACAGAATTGACTTCAAAACTGAATCATTAGTATTAAAATGCATAACAGGATATGTCTTCATCGGTTCCATGGAACTTTCAAGCATACTACTAGTCTTCATTTCACAAAGAATGTGTATCCAATCAAATAAACGACAGCCGATAGTAACTAGAATTGGTGAACTGTCAAACTGTTCACGACTATGAAATATTTTCTGATTAAATTGTTCGAAACAGATATACGGTAACATGGGTGGTTGGAATTCCAGCTGAATATTCACTTGAATAACACTACTATAGTCACCAGCAAAGAATGATTTTGCTATGGAACTACTTGATGTAAATGTGCAAAATATTTGCAGCCAGTCGGAAGGTAGGTTAAAACGTCGTATTCTATTCAAAGAGAAACATAGAAATGATGTTAGTTTAAATAAAACAGTTTCAATAATATGCTTTAGTGTTTTGTGAATCGTATCTGCAATAATGAGGGCAATAATCCTAACTTTCTTCTGGTTTTTAGGTCGAATAGTCGAATCATGAACTGTCAGGGTCATTTGAGAGATTATTAGTGCCAAACTAAAAAAAACACAACTAACTTTTGGAATCCTTCTCATGCCACGATGCTTCTATTGTTTTCGGTGAATACGCAATCGCAGAGACTGCTCTCTTAGCTTGACATTTGATCTATCTAGTAGTGTGTGGTTACATCGTTGGCTGATAAGCCGAATGGATATTGACATATCTGGTAAGCCCTGATTGAATCGAGTGTAAGGTCTCTAGAAACTTGCTGACATTTTAATTTCCCGTGGTCCGAGGTTTGTACTTTCTTCATTTTTATTGATTTCAACAGTAACCCACATGTATGCGTACTCAAAGTAAAAAAACACCTACATCTTCAAGAGCTTTAAGTTTTCTCCATCAATTTAAGATGACTTGACAGTCAGAACTCATGGGGACAGATGATAAAGATCAATGACTGGATCATCAACCCACTACGACATGCGTCTTACCAAGCTGTTTGATAGTTGAGTAAATATCCGACAGTTATTTTAGGTAATACAGACACTAAAGCATACACATTTTATAGATTATTCTACCATCGATAATTATTTAGATGGATACGTAGTTCGAAAGGGTGGGAAATAATCGTGGAGCTTTCATTACTTTTCTAGACGACACCATCAGCCCTAACTTCAATATAAAGTGAGCTGTCAATATATATCCTTGAGTGATTCAGTGGCTTCTGCTGACGAACTGCTTTGTGACTAATTATTTCCTTTGATTGTTGTGTCATTGACTGTATAGATTTTCTTGTTGGCTGTTTCTCTACTCGACTTCTGACCTTTTTGTTGTTTATTATTTTTCTTATTGGTCCATATCTATACACCTATTGATTGCTGACTGATCTGAATGTAACGCTTCTAGAATTACTCTGATATTCTTCGCGTTTCCTTTGCCTAAGACTTCTACATTTTCAAAATTGAATTCGTGTCGATAGTTATTCCCGTGCATTGAAATGAGCGATGAAATGTTATGGCGTTTAATGGCCAATTGGTGTTCAGTCAATGACACGAGAATCAACGGAAACAACCAATTACAAAGCAGTTCGCCAGGGCAAGCTACTAAATCCTTTGAGGAGAGATTACTGACAGCTCACTTCATACTGAGGTTAGTGCTGACGTTGTCTAGAAAGACAATAAAAGCTTCATGATTAAACCAACCACCTAAGGGAACACAACATAACCAGGATAAGGAGTTCCTTTCAAACATACAATAACTGTACCGATTTCCTTTGACTCCATTATTTCTGAAACGAATTACAGTTGCCAATAGACATCATCTTCGGACCACTTCTAACTTCGCGAATTAACTTGACAAATATAAACAGATAAGTAAGGGACAAGTAGTATATAGACAAAATAACTTACTTGGAACTGTCTACATTTGATGACCCCGAAAACCATGGTTCTTTATGGGTGTATATAAGGGAATGGTTAAATGTATCATCATCAACTCCCATGGTTGATTCTAGCACATTTGATGATGAAGATGTTGAGGCCGATAATTCGCAGTCACGCTTAACGATTTCAACAGTAACAACTGCATACAGATAACGTTGGAGACTTTCTGAAATAAAACGGTTCTGGTTGCCGTCGGATGATTCAAATAATATAATCCGTGCTAAATTTTCTCGATTACATTTATTCCAATCAGCATTAAATAAGTTATCGACATCTCCAACATTGTTATCAGTTGTTTTATCCTTTAGAGGTAGGTATAGACAAATTTAAAAAAACAAGTGAAAGCTGAAATATACTACATTTACAACTGTGAGACCGCCATTATCTTGGCAGTGTTACTTACTCACGATTGAACTACTAGTGTGCTGAATTTGCTATGGAATTTCTAGCGAATGAAAGTGAATCGACTGAGTTATGCCACTGCATCAACTGTGGTGACTGATATGGGCATAAAAGGCATCAGGCAATCTACCACTTCTATTCTGTCTTAAATGAAGTACTGGGCTAGTAAATAGCTGGTAATGAAGAGATAATAATATGATACTAATCCGTTGAATAGTTAGTAGGAAAACCGTAGCACCAGTATGCAACTTCATAGTGTTGGATTGATGAGCGACGCTTAACACACGTAATTGAAATGACGCAACATCAATGCCGGATGTGCGAAAAATTCTGCTACCAATTAAATCAAACAATAGGAAAGAAAAACCCTAGAAATATAAAAATTAGATAAGAAAATTGTAGAATTACCTTGTTATGATTAAGAGCTCGAAACGCCATATAGATAGACAGAATCATCGCAGAACCTCGCACATAAGTGCATCTGATCAAGTTGCAACACTTCACAGTGATATCACAAAGAACAGCCATGTCACCGAGACTCCCCAATCACTGATTCGTTTCGTCTTAAGGATCCTCACCAGGTAGTATATATCACCCCACGCGACTCAGAACAACAGAGAGACTTCATCGACTGCCGCTAGGTCTTGGTCTGGTCACCTTGAACCCTCTTCTGAACTAATCCAAATTCCTGCGACATGGCAAGTAGGCGTTGACTCGGCATATACAACACAAGTCCGAGCCACATCAGCCGATGAAGGTTCATAACCTCATCAATACACTGACTTGCCTATCTTGCCTAGTACCCCTCAGCTGACCTCAACATTCGCAACACGGTGATTCTACCAAATGTGAGCAATGTCCTTCACATTCAACGGCCAAGTTACATGGCTCAGAATTGATCTCATTTCCACAGGCATATCCACATATTATCTCCATCTTAATCTGCACATCACAATTCAATATTATTTCATTCCTTCTTGGTCTCTTTTCATAACTTCCTACTACTTTTGATTAATTCCTTTCTGATCTCGGTCTGTCACCTCGGTACCTTCTACTATATCAATGTGCTGATATGAGGTGTGGCATCTTGAGTCATTACACAGTACAGTCAGGTTACTTATTGTTATCGTCCGTCTTCCTTATACAGCAGAATTCTTACTTCAGTTTCTGAACGAGCATATTATGTTGCAAGTGATAAAACTTTCGCAATTTTCAAGTTAAATGCAAATATTTATCACTTATTGAGGTGACATTTTCTTCGAAATCAGTTTCATTTTACAACTTGCTTTATGTTAGCGGTTACTCCCCACTTGATAACCTCATATACGAAGTACATAATTATAAGGGGATACGAACTCATTTACCCCTACTTTTCACTTTTTGAACTAATTAGGTAGGTGGTTTTCCTTTTAGTCCACCTTGTTGTTGCGATAGCTAACGCACTAGTGATTACGCAGTATTGTCAGTCTTATGTTGCTTCTGACTAACCGGTATCTTCCGGAGATCTGAAAAATACCACAAGGAGTACTCTATACAGCATTCATGTTGGCATGTTTCACCAATAGCTTCGAACACAAAATATTGTGGTCCATAATGAGCAATATCTACGCATCTCAGAATACAGATTGGTGAATACAGTTATGTGTGAACAATATGAGGACAAAGACATTTGTAGAATAAAATGAGCTCATCTTATTTCACGGCCTTTCATCACCTACAAACAGCCTACAGTTGAAATAAGGTATTAGTAGTAATAATGGCACAACATACTTTAAATATGTAGAGACAAATGAAGATTTGAAATCCAGAAATCCAAGGAAACATAGGATTAATTACATATCCTTATGAGCATACTCCGAGAAATCCATGTTTGAAAGGTAGTAAGGTCTTTACCAGAGCAATCGCTAGGCCCCTGATGGAAACAGAACATCAAATAGGTGTTTCTCACTCCTTCAGGATAATCAACAAACAAAGAACACCATGTTCATTACGGTTTGTGGAAGCTTTCACCATCAAACATTTTCAATCTGACCAATGTAACTCAGAAAGAGACTGTAATTAACTTTGCTTTATCCTGGTAACTGTATATGATTTTTTGTATACGTATGAACAAAGTTTTCTTTTTTTGATTGTATCATCTCTTCATTAATTACTTACTGACTGTTAATCACTCAACCTAACAGTTTTTCATGTAATTGCATAATACATTGATTCTTTAACAACTTCTTTTACACTTCCGTCCGTTATTTGTCAACCCTTTTCCACATCTCCAGAATTTTCTATCTCACCAGATACAAATATCCATCGATTTTGACTAAGACTTGTTAGTGTTAATCCTGTGTTTCCTTGACTTACTACCTTATTGTTAATCCTGGATTTCAAATCTTCATTTATTTCTGGATATTTTAAGTCTTTTGTGTCATTCTTACTACTAATACTTCATTTCAACTGTAGGCTGTTTGTAACTGATGAAAGGCCGTGATATAAAATGAGCTCATTTTATTCTGCGATTGTATTTGTTCTTACACTGGTCAACTTGTCGGGGGAACTAAATGTATGACAGTTATGTATGTTGCAATATAGAGTACTAAAATCATAATTGGAAAGTTTGCCAGATGTACAAAGCTTTTTGTCGGTTGGTACTACCTTGTGTTTCAGAACCATATAGTACAGCAGAGCGAAAGGCTATGTAGTACACTCGACCCTGAATAGACAATCGGATATTACGGCGGCATCATAAATGGTGCAGGTAAGTGAAGGCAAATCGAGCCTTTTGTATCTATGCAGAGACTCCTTTGGTCACTGATTCATCCGGGATGATCCAATTTCCCAAGTAAAGCGTTAAACGCAACCAACCATTTCAACCCTCTATTGAACTGATATGTAGTTATGCAAGGTCCTATTCTTCTAATGTCTGCATATCAGCCTTCTACTTTGAGCATATCATAGCACTGTACATCTTACATCATCAGGTTATGCAAATAACCGCCATAGAAAAGTACTCGGTTGGTATTATTAGATTTTTATTCATAGTGAAACTCGCAGGTAGTTACTGTCAAACCAGTTACTAATAAGAAGTAGAAATTAACTACTAGTAAACAGATTGAAGACTTTTACTGAAATAGGAAGTGATTTTCATCAAATACTGATCTCAGACGAATAATCATAAAAAATTAAGGAGTATTGTTGCAAATGACACCTACGAAAATTGAATCCGACTGTTAAGCGGTTAATGTACCCTGCAGTGAACCTGGAAGATAATACTTCAATTTGTACGGAGGTTATACATGTATACTGCTATTAGCCCAAGAAAGTCAAAAGTGCTTAACCAATGCAGACTATTACCGGAAGTTAGTACACAGAAAATTGCATTGCAAAAGGACTAGTCAAAATGTAAGGTTTTTGAATTCATTCAACAAACATAGGTCGATAATACAAGACCTGGTACATGCCCACTGAAAAATGCAGAGAAAAAGCAAAAAACATACCTGGGCTGAAATGTCGACAACTAGTTCCAAAGGTGATAAGTTTTGAGACTGAAATTCTGTAGAACGTATCAAATAGACATTGCAGTTTAAGAGAGAACGAGAAGCTTTGCACGTTTCTGGATCTCCACTAGTCAAATGATGCATTAGATACAAACATGCTAAATATATCTTCAACTGATGTTCAGTCTTCACTAAATTGATAAACGTTTGATTTAATTCCTGTTCTTTTGTTTCAGCACTGTCTACATTGCCAACTTCAGGAAGATTTTCCGCTTTAGTTAGTAGATCTATTAAGCGCGTTTTACATCCCAGTGAATCGATACCACCCAAATGGCCATCTATCAGTAAATTTCAAGAGCACCGAAATGATGAGAATAAGACACTGTCTACAGATGAATTCAAAATTATGATAATATTAGACGGATATCCAACCATGAATAGATTCTACTGAGGTGGTTGAACACCTATAGTCTACATCAATCAGCGTACAACTCCCATTTCCAAACCTGCTGCTAATGGTCTCCTAAGATCAGTCGATTTAAAGCTGTCTATATTCACAGTACCAATTGGATTGACAGGCCTCATCGGTCAAAACCCTGGCCCCTCAACACATGAAGGAATATTTCACTTCTGCGGCAACTCTGTACTGATATTTGAGGTAGTTCGGTATGCTACGGATGGCAGTTATAGGACCTCAAGTATAGCGATGGCATTATGTTGATACACAGAGGGTGTACTGCTTTTCTGCTCACTAATCAATAACCATCAATGCTCTGTTTAACTGTAAAGTTCCATTGAGGGCTTCAAAAGAACTATGATGCGTTAATGTATTATTTTTCACATGTATAAATCCAACGAAATGAAGACTGTAGAGAATGAATTGACCAAAAGATTCCAAACTTGCTCATGTGTGTCCTACATCTGAATAAGCTATAAAGAATATAAAAATGAAATTTTTTCCCAGGCTCATCACAAACAAGAAAGATTCAAAGGCTGAGTGAGAAAATAAGAAGCTGGAAAATTAAAAACTCTCGATAGTGATACCTACCTAGTTTGGCTTGATGTATAGTCTACATTGCAAACATTATTAGACGCACTCGGGATATTGTAACCAAAGGTTATTAAAACCAATAATTATCGGAAGACTTTTCAAGAATAATCAATCCCTGAAGAGTTATAAAAAGAGGAAGTAGGATTGACTTAAAGTTTCTACAACAACTATGAGGAGTATTCGGAAGTGAAAGGGAGAAATGAAGGTGGTGATGAAATATAAGTCATCAGATAACGTCAAAATGCGCTCAGTGACCTTGTGCACATTCATGCAGTAGACAATGAGCCATACCTATTGTGTGAGGGCTGATGATACTACCTGGCTACCCACACCTCAGTAGGTGGAGCGGTGTTCGAACACGTGACTCATTGGTTGAAAGTCATCTCCCTAAACCAATGAGGCATAGCTAATATCAAGGAAATTGACACATGATAACCAATGATTTGGGCGAACCTCATCCCTGAGAGAAAGGATTCAGGAGTAGACTGTCGATACAAAAGGTTGAAGCATTGGAAGTAACATTTTATTTTGTGGTTTGACTGATCTTTCTCTATGTTTTAAGTGCCTACCACAAGAGTACTGAGATATAGACAGTAGCCTTTCAATTATGATTGCGGTTTAGCGGTCGATAAAAAACTTGGAACAAGGATGGATAGTTTGTTCTGACCAATCATGTCCAGAGATCATTGAAGGTGAGGGATGGAAATTATTGGTAAGATTGACGAGAGTACTGTTTGGGATTTAGGGTTCAGATCCAAATCATTTTGAAGGACTATGACTATTAAAATACGAGTACAACTTGGGCACTTTGGTAGACTGTAATTCCATTTTAGTCTATTCATTGTAAATGTCACACAATGGAACAGTATCATTTACCAGATGACGTTTCGGACACAATTTATTGTCCACATTTTTATCAGGTAACTCGACAACTTTGGGACAGTCTATATAGTCATAATTTTCTCTCCTTCTTTGTGGTAACAAGAGTAGTAGAATTTTCCATATATTTGGGACAGGTGCGGAATCATTTCTATTGTGTGGATTTGTGTTGATTCGATAAACAAGGATTCAGTTATCAATCTCTCCCTACACACAAATAAGTTAGATTTTAATACTGTCACTCTATCCCACTCTATTGTGTGGTTGTGTGAGGTTGCGTGCAGAGCTATAACCGAGCTTCTCTCTAAAGTTCTTATCTTATTAGGCTTTACTAATCCTGATTTAGTTAGATTTTTGTACTCTATTATTCTAACTGACCCTAGTTTCGACTACTTTGACCTATGTATTTAATCTTGTAATCATTGCACGGGATTTGGTAAAGCAAATTATTTTGTTGAATTCAACTCATAAGGTCTTTTTAGCCTACAAACAGAGCACAAAAACGTAACTGAATCGAGATTAGCAGACCTTAATAAGATAGAGAATCTAGAGAAAAGCTCGGTTATAGCTCTGCACGCAACCTCACACAACCACACAATAGAGTGGGATAGAGTGACAGTATTAAAATCTAACTTATTTGTGTGTAGGGAGAGATTGATAACTGAATCCTTGTTTATCGAATCAACACAAATCCACACAATAGAAATGATTCCGCACCTGTCCCAAATATATGGAAAATTCTACTACTCTTGTTACCACAAAGAAGGAGAGAAAATTATGACTATATAGACTGTCCCAAAGTTGTCGAGTTACCTGATAAAAATGTGGACAATAAATTGTGTCCGAAACGTCATCTGGTAAATGATACTGTTCCATTGTGTGACATTTACAATGAACAGACCAAAAGGGTTATAACTATTTTTGAGGCAATCAAATCATGATATGGTAAACACAAATGAGATGGATAAAGTAACTCAACTTTTAGAACTCTAGAATCCACTATTATTTGATATCTGACCGCACGTCACAGACAGAGAATGCAATACGTTTCAAATATAGTCACTGTTGTTTTGACCATAACCTGGGACATTGCTTCGTTTGCTGACGTCTAGCGCTAAACGGAGCTCTTGATTCACAGGAATTCGACTCTATAAATCTACAGGTTTTGTGAAAGAATTTACACTACCACGCTCTTAACCGAATCACTTGCATGACTGTTTATGGTGACTCGTCACATAAGGTGGCTAGGTTGAGTGCTATTTTAACAAAGCTACAACAATAAGTTTGGCAGAATACGGTGAATTCATTGTGTTTCGTCGCCTTCTCTTCAATTGCATACAGGCTATAAATTCATAAGATATAAATAGGGAGAGAAACCTCGCCTGGTTAACTAGTTTACTAGTTACTAGCCGGTCCTAAGCCCGGGTAAAGAGGGAAGGTTGGGCATAGGGCTAGCAACCCTACCCCGTAAAACAAATCTAACCGCTAAAGAAACTTCAAAGCACAAACAAAATATAAAAAATGAAAACAAACTTATTCCCCGCTGGAATCGGAGAGGCGAAATGACGCCAGTTGGTGAAAGCCTTCGGGAAGCCAATTGGCCGATGTGTCTTCTCTCGATGAAAGCGAAAGTAAACGTGGGGACATGGAATGTCCGCACGATGTTTGAACCCAGTAAGGCAGCCCAGATTGCAAGGGAGATGAGAAGGTATAACATCGAAGTGCTTGGGATTTGCGAAAGCAGATGGAATGGGAGTGGACTCTCCAAACTGTCAACTGGAGAATCAATAATCTACTCCGGTCACCCAGACGCCAACCACGAGCACACTGAGGGAGTGGCTATCATGATGTCCTCAAGAGCATCGAAGGCTCTCATGCAGTGGGAACCAATCTCCTCCAGGATCATGACAGCAAGATTCAACTCAAAAGGAAGAAAGGTCACAATCATACAATGTTATGCACCTACAAATAATGCAGAGCAAGAGAAAAAGGAGGATTTCTACAGACAACTTCAATCAACACTGGACAAGACGTCAGTTGGCGATATCAAAATTCTAATGGGCGACATGAATGCCAAACTGGGAGGGGACAACACGGGAAGAGAACTAACCATGGGTCGAGAGGCGCTAGGTGAAATGAATGAGAATGGAGAATTGTTTGCAGAATTCTGTGCATTCAACGATTTGGTGATTGGAGGCAGTGTGTTCAGGCACAAGGATATCCACAAAGCGACATGGATTTCACCAGATGGACACACTAAAAATCAAATCGACTTTATCTCAATCTCAAGAAAATGGAGACGCAGTCTACTTAACACAAGGTCAAGAAGAGGAGCAGATGTAGGTTCAGACCACTCACTCTAGTGCAAGGAACCTTCCAAATCAAGTTAAAAGCCTTCAAGGAAGCTGGTGATAGACCTCAATTCAAGTACAACACTCGGAAACTGAAGGATGAAACTACAAAGGAGATCTTCAAGGCAGCCATCAAGACAAAATGGGAGACGTCGAGGGACATCCCTGAAGAAACCTGTGTGGAAGAACACTGGAAGTCTTTGAAAGCTATGTGGAAAGAAACCTGCACAACAGTATTAGGAAGGAAGAAGAAAGAAGACAAGGAATGGATCTCGACGGATACCTGGAAGCTGATAGAGGAGAGGAGGATGGTGAAGCAGAAGATAAACCAGTGCAAGGATGCTCAACGACAAGAGGAACTGAGCACAATGTATAAAACACTGGACAAAGAAGTGAAGAAGAGTGCACGCAAAGACAAAAGACACTTCTACGAACACTGGCAAGTGAAGCAGAACAGGCTGCAGGTAAGAGAGACCTGACGACATTGTATCAAATAACCAGGTTGCTATCAGGGAAGAGACCAACACAGATGAAACCAATAAAAGATGAAGAAGGAAATTTAATTACAAAAGAAGAGAAACAGAGGAAACGATGGGCCGACCACTTCAAGAAGCTCTTGAATCGACCACCACCTGCACTTCGTCCAGAAATACCACCTGCAGCCGCTGAACTACAAGTGAACATTAATCCCCCAACGAAAATGGAAGTCCTGAACGCCATAAAGCTACTGAAATGCGGGAAAGCAGCAGGACCAGATGGAATACCGCCAGAAGCACTGAAAACAGATGCAGAGACAACAGCGGACATGCTCACACCACTATTGCAGAAGGTGTGGAAGGAAGAGAAGGTACCTGACGATTGGAAGAAGGGTTACCTTGTCAAACTGCCGAAGAAGGGAGACCTCAGTGCTTGCAAGAACTGGCGCGGAATCACTCTCCTGTCCACCCCAAGTAAAATATTAAGCCGCATCATCCTGGAGAGGCTAAGATGCACTGGATTCAAAACTACGACCGGAACAGGCAGGCTTCAGGAAGTACAAATCATGTGCTGACCAAATTGCAACGCTTCGTATCATCATAGAACAGAGCGTAGAATGGCAATCAGCTCTATACCTCAACTTCATCGACTTTGAGAAGGCCTTTGACAGCGTCGACCGAGAAGTAATTTGGAAACTGCTTCAATACTACGGAGTACCGCAAACCTTTATCCGCCTCATTCAACAACTATATGAAGATGCCACATGCCAAGTAATCCACAATGGGAAGCTCAGTGATGCCTTTGAAGTGAAGACAGGAGTGAAACAAGGTTGCCTACTATCCCCCATGATATTCCTTATTGTGGTGGACTGGATCATGCAGCAAACAGTAGGCAGCGAGAAGAGGGGGATACACTGGACGACGGAAAAGAACCTAGAAGACTTGGATTTCGCCGATGACTTATGCCTAATGTCACATAAACTTGAAGATCTGCAGGCAAAAACTAACAAGTTGATAGAAGAGGCAGCTAAGACGGGACTTCAGGTGAATATAGAGAAGACAGAAGTGATGAAGATACCGCACCACCACCATCAACAACAACAACAAACTCCAATCACCGTCAACGGGAGAAACTTAAAGGAAGTAACCTCCTTCACTTATCTAGGAAGCACTGTTTCAACTACAGGCGGGACGGACGAGGACGTCAAAGTCAGAATCGGAAAAGCAAGACAGGCGTTCATTAGCCTGAAACCAGTGTGGAGATCTTCTGCACTCAGCATGCGGAACAAGATACGGATTTTCAACACCAACGTCAAGTCAGTGCTCTTGTATGGCTCAGAGACTTGGCGCGTCACGAAAGGTATTTCCAATAAACTACAGACATTCATCAACAACTGCTTACGCTCGCTGCTGAAGATCAGATGGCCAGAAAAAATAAGCAACAAGGAACTCTGGGAACGAACCAACCAAGAACCTATCACGCAACAAATATGCAGGAAGAAGTGGAGATGGATTGGCCATGCACTGAGAAGGCCGACTGAGGACATCACGCGTCAGGCCCTCGAGTGGAATCCCCATGGGAAGCGACGAGTTGGACGTCCGAGGGTGACATGGAGGAGGTCGTGCGAGGAGGAAATGAGAGCTTCTGGGCTGTCGTGGGACCAGGTTCAAAAGATCTCAGAGAACAGAGGTCACTGGAGGCGTGCTACTGAAGCCCTATGTTCCACTAGGAACCCAAGGGACTAATAATAATAATATAGGGAGAGATATAAAACCCACATAATTCACTTATGAAGATCGTCAGAGACATGAAAAACTGAAACCTGGAGGATCACGTTTACCATTTGTGTATGGACAAACGAAGCTACATAAACCAAATATGCCATTCAGACCCATCCTATCTATGATCAATTCCCCCTGCCACAAACTAGCTCGATGGTTGGCAAATCGATTAGATCCAATTCGAAAGAAGCTAGCCTGAGAGATACATTTGAATTTGTGCAAAAAAACAGACGAAACCAGTATCAAAGTTAAATTGATGGTATCCTATTACATATCAGAATTGTTTACCAAAAGACTGCTGAAAGAAACAGTGGATATTGTCTGTCAATACTCAGAAGAAATATGCATACCCAAAACGGGATTTAAAAAGTTTCTGTTCTTTTGCAATAAAATGTACAATTTCAATTCAACAATAAATCATACTGCCAAACACAGAATGGTAATGGAAAGTCCTTAAGAATCTATCCTTGCGGATATATATTTATGGGAAGAACTATGTTAGCTACAGTTATCAGTCGAACTACGATGTATAAAAAGGTATGCTAACGACATGAATTATGCGATAGCACTGCTAAAAAGATTCAATTAAGCACATGTGAATATTAAGTTAACCATGGAACACGAGATAAATAATGAATTTCATTTTTTAGACTAGGGACTTCGAAGAAGAATAGATGGGTCGTGTCAGAGATCTGTCTACAAGAAAGAAATATGGGGCGGACAGTATCTTCATTTCAACAGTTTCCGTCCTATAAGTTATAAGCCAGGACTAGTTAAAACGTTATTTCAAAGAGCTAAGAAACTTTGTTCATCAGACAAACTGACTGATGAAATTCAGTTCATCGAGAGATATCTGAAAGAAAATGGTTACCCTAAGAGATTTATGGATAAAGTCAAAATGGAAACAGCAGAAACAAATATACTTGATAATCTCGAAAAGAAGCCTGTGTTCCTCCATCTAACTTTCAAGGGAGAAATGCACTAGAAATCACTTCCCCATCAGCTAAATTATATATGTGTCCGTTACAACAATCGACAGGTTTCCGTCTCAAGTTACCTCAAATTGTATCTTCCAATTCCCATGTACACATCAGAATACGAATAATAAAAGGACAGAGAGAAGGGGTGGGACTAGATTTCGTTAACACATTCTGAAGAAGTTAAGCTTAAAGGAGCTAAAGTGTCTTAAAAGTTCCATTACTAAACATCTGATGGACATAGGATATGATGTCCGGACCTCAAAAGCACATAAAAAAAATTAACAAACAAAACAATGCTAAGCTGTTATGATTTGTAGAAGCAATTTCCACCAGGAGTAAACCGAACTTATGGATCCAAAAAGAAGCAGTGGTTAGGTGTCTCCAATCTCCATGGTAGCTATTGATTTGTTTTGTCATTTAGTATAACGCCTTCCAAAATTCCGCATTTTTATCGCCTTTTATAACAAAATACATAATTTCTATTGCATCTCCACCAGTTTACCGCTTGCCTATAACTGACTTGACCCATACGAAACAATATTGACCCTATGTTTACTCCTCACACACACATCATACTCTCTATTCCATTTTTTGACGAGTCATGTGTAGCAGGATGACATTCTGACGATATAAACATAGGATAAATTCAGTTTTAGTAATCCCAATTTATTTCAGTTAAACTTCCTTAATCTGTATTAATTGATTTATTATGTCATCAATGGACTTTCATCTTCTTGGTTAATGAATTATATGGATTTATTTCTCTCTTTATGTATCTTATGAATTTATAGCCTGTATGCAATCGAAGAGAAGGCGACGAAATAAAATGAATTTATCATATTCTGCTAAACCTGCTGTTCTAGCTTTAGTTAACATTTTGAAGAGAATCAATTGTAGGAGTGCTGTTTGTTGAAGATGTCAATCCTTCCCTTTTACTTCTGTTAATTATGTAAATGATTTGCATAAAGCAATTCCCACGTTTTACATCTCGAAGATTGGTTTCATACCCGAGGATCTTCTAAATGATATATGACATTTACACTACAGAATGCTATTGGGTAAAGACTGACAAAATGTAGTCTGAATAATTTAAACGAAAATGTGAATAATTATTACTCACTAAGTGTAAAATTTTGTAAAACAATCCGTCTACACTAAGCTTAGCTTATTAGAAAGAGGTAAAGTGGTTGAACTTGTTGATTCCTTAACTGTTCTAGGAAGATGCATCAGTTGACCAATGAGATCTCAATACCAAGACAAAAAGCTGGTTTCATTTCCTCTTACTTATGCCATCTTCACGTTCATGCAGGAGTGTTAACAGTGCGATGGTATGCTTTGTTGTATTTCATGGTTGTGAAACTTATGCATTGAGGCTAGGAGAACTGCAAAGATCATACGTAAATAATCAGTGATACTGCTACTTTTGTATGGCAGAAACAAGTAGTGAACAATGCTGAGTTTATCTATAAAGACACCGTATGAGACTCAAACCAGTCGATGCAAATTCATAAATGCATTGACTGATGTAATAGAGGACTCGACACTGCCTACCTCAAAGTACTTTGTATTCACAGTAGAAGTGTAGTGGTAATGTTCAAACAAAGAACAGGAATCAATCTAAGAAACTTTTAACAACCTGTCTAAACTGTCTTGTGAATTGTAAATTTACTTGTTAGGACCCATAAGACAACAGAAAATAATCTCTGAAGAGTTTACATGACGAGCGAAAATCAACAGTGATAGTACAGATTCACGAATTTATATATTGCTGTGAATAAGAGATAAATCCATACTCTTTACCACCTTATGTCTTCATTTGGCTTCTTTTGCGCTTTAACAAAGTTGTTTTGTTTCAGTTCATAGAATCGACTGTTAACTACATAATCACAAGTTCAAAACCCATTGTCTACTTTACTTCAGACAGTTGCGAAATGCATTAATGATAGATAGCGGCTAACAGTGAAATCCGGGACGCGTGTTTCGTCCTATATGGCATCCGCACAGGAGCTCATATGTCAACAGAGATTGATCGATTCGTCCCACTCGACGGCGGGATAATACAAACAACAACATTAGTTACGCAATATATCCACGGAATGTAATTTACGTCAGTCTATCACACATTTACGCTATTCTTATAAATATATTTCTGTAGTACTTATTATAAAAGATAGCGATGTTTAGAACTAGGAATAATGGAGACAGTGGTATGTAATGTAAGTAACGTTTACTGTTTAAACTGTAGGTAGACGTTTGCTACGTTCATCAAGCTTGGATTTTGCGTTGGCTGACAATCACTAACAACATCTGTCTGAAGCTTTGGTAGAGATATGCCCTATTAAAAGTTGAAATCGACCAACAATTGAATTAGTGCTAAGGAAATAATAACAACAAAGTAATGATGAAAATATTTATGTGAGTAAAAACAAAAACGGAATCTGAACTAACCAGCTAGACGAGTGAAGTCATAAACCTTAAGATTACGCCATTTTGGACATGATTTTATCCATTGTTCCACACTATCGATAGGAGCTAAATGAACAGGTAATCGAGGGAAATTAGCTGGTTGACAAACTAAATTCCATTTTGTTAATAACACACTATCGAAATCTTCAGATGTTCGTAATTGTAGACTGAAATGTATAGACATTAAATGTCCACTTTGTGTGGTGACATGTAACCATGATCCTTGTGCACGACATTTAACAATTCGATCAGGTGGCTTGGGTAAGTTGAACTCAACGGTGTTTAAGATTCTGTCTTCCCATTAAATTGTTGATATGTACAAAGAAAGATTATGAAAAAAAACACTAAAAAAACATAGATAAAGAACTGATCTAACAAGCAAAATGCATATGTGAACCTATATATATAACAGCAGGTATTTTAAAACACTATAATAAATTGTTTTAAATTGTTTGCTTAGTGGTGGCTAGCAGTATAATATAGGACGCGTGTTTTACATTTCAGTAATTCCACAGCTGATCAACTCGAAATCGAATCTATTATGTGAGGGCTCCCCAAACCTCAGTAGGTGGATTCAAAACTGTGACCCATTGGTTGGAAATCAGGTGCCTAAACCAACGAGCCACAACAGCTCCACAAGCTGATCAATTAACAAGAACAACCAGCAATCACACTTTACAACAGTATTAGTACTGTATCACGTGTGTTATGCCGAAAAGCACAAACTAATATAGAATTACATCCTACCAGTGCCCGTATTCTGTACTTACGTTAAAGTTTACCAGGTAGCATATATAAATTTCTTATCAACCAAATGCAAACTGTTGCTCCAGGACTGTTCTGCATTGGTGCCCTGTCTAACAACAGGAAACGAAGTGATTGAGTACACTGACAACTTCATTTACCTACCTATGAAGTCAAACCCACCCTAATGAGTCACTAACTGATGAAATCTCTGCACGGATACGAAACAATCGCTTGGGTTTCGCTAACTGATAGCATTTGTGATGCCGGTGTGATAACCGATTGCTTAATAATAGTCGAGTGTTTTGCACTGCAATTTACTTTGTTCTACTGCAAGACTGTGAAATGTGGTCATTAAAAGGCATCACGTGTTCGAATACTGTTGCCTTATTAGCATAGCCCCCATATCATGAAAGTAAGAAAGTATTGGAGTATTACAAGTGTCTTGTAGCTGTCAGGTGGTGATCCAACATTATTTTGTAGGGAGATGTTGGAGTCGGTAAAAAGATAGCCTTACACCTGTAGGTATGAATTTTTGACTCCCCATTAAACTTAGGATTACTCTTCAGTAGCTATTTTCTATCTCATAAATCATGACTGTTCCATCTTGTATGTAAGAGACTATTTTAAAAAAGATATACACAGTTGGTCGGCAAGCAGTTTGATTTTTGTTATACATTTATTTAGTCATGCTTTAGAATAGCAAAAATTCAATAATAAAACAAATCATATAAAGTCGTGAGATAGGCATCTAGTTCAGTTGCCTAGTTTAGTGTGCAGTTACTTCAACTTCATGAGTCAGTATTTACACCAGCACCAGTAACAATCAAACACACCAAAGGTAACAGATCAATAACGGAATGATTACAGGATCTGCTGAAAATTATCTTTCAAGTTTACGACATAAATTCGCCATCGAATGTGTGTCAATATAAGCAATGTAGTAAGAACAACCAAAGTTTAGGGGGCATTAGAATCCATAACAAGAGCACCTATAAGAAGTAGCACTATTCTTTCCCAGCAACGAAATTCCAATACATTGAATATTCCCGCTTAGATATTTAGAAAAAAAATTGATTGAGCAAAGAAATATATTCCTTCTCAATTAGGTCTTCGTCTTCGGCTCTACACCAATATATAGTTTTACAATTTAATCAAATTACCAATCACGTGGTGATGTTTCGGAAATAATGTAAATAATCAATAGAGTAATTAAGATTGAATATATGGAGCAAGTTATTCTCAGGTAAATGGAGTGACTTTGATGAGTGTTCAGTCACAAACAATAGATTATTACGTAATACTCAGAAAACACATGAACATTAGTAGAAACAAGAAGAGAAGTACAAAGTAATACTCGAAGTTACATCATGTTGACGACCACGGTGATGAAAGTGGTCGAAAAAACTTCTTTTGGATATAAAGGCTAGGTTTGTAAGGGTGGATTGCAATCGCCTCTGCTATGTGGAGTAAGCGAGTGCGTTATCCATGTGGTAAGTTAATTGGAATTTGATGGATGATTTCGAAAGCTTTTCTAGTATCAACTTGATGTTAGATATTTCTCGGCCTTCTCTGTTGTATCACCATAAGGGACTAATTTCTGAAATTTACTTTTGATCACTAAGTAAAGAATTCATTTTGTCTATGTACTCTTTTTTATCCATTAAAACCATTCCTGATCCTTTATCTGGCTTGGCACTCGCGATATTTGCATTAGTTTTAAGCTTCTCTGTTTTTTCGTTAAAATACTCTTTATACCGTTCATACTACTTGTGCACTTTAGGCAGGAGCCAACGAGTGTAATCTTAAGTCTATCAACGTCTTCACGAGATGATGGTACCAAACCTTCCGTCTGTGTACACATGTTCTCAAACTGTATTTCCCTTCCCATCTTACTAATCGTATTACGACTATCACAAAAGTTTGGTCCAAGTGACAAAACTTCTAATTGTATAGCATCAAGATCGATACTAGAAGAATTATGCACTAACTTTCTCGGATTAGTCGGGAATCTCATCTCTGGTGTACGGTTTTCAAGAGTTTTGCTCAACTTAATGCGCTTCTTTTCTTTCCATGCATTGACCACATTCGCCACATAACTCAAAAATTTCTGCTTTAAATTTTCCGGAAGCTCTTTTACAGCATGAAGTCTCTGTAACTTTTTCCAGCACCTGTTCCTCTTCTTGTTTCTATCAATATTCATTTGTTTTCTGATTATTACGTAATAATCTATTGTTTGTGACTGAACACTCATCAAAGTCACTCCATTTACCTGAGAATAACTTGCTCCATATATTCAATCTTAATTACTCTATTGATTATTTACATTATTTCCGAAACATCACCACGTGATTGGTAATTTGATTAAATTGTAAAACTATATATTGGTGTAGAGCCGAAGACGAAGACCTAATTGAGAAGGAATATATTTCTTCGCTCAATCGGTCTTTTTTCTAAACGAAATTCCAGTCAAATTAAAGATCCTATCGTATTTTTTTTTTGTTGAAGAGTGAAGTGGCATTATTTACTGGATAATGTTTCACTGTAACATTTAAAAGAACAAAACAACAATTACGCTTTAACCATAGTGCTCGAATTCTACTCTCATACCAACCAACTTAAAAATTCACCTCTAAATTCAATGTTTATCAATCACTAGCTCCAAAATGGACTTCCAGAAGCTTTGATGAGAAGCCGTAACCAGTGGGGTCAACTAAGTTAGGTGTGAGAGCAGAAACTCATCGATGGCATTAGATGATTGTCCTTCTGTATCGCCAGTTGACAGGAGTAGGAAAATGTAGACTACTGGATCACAACTCAGTGGCTGAATTGTAACAAGCTTACTATGAAAGCTGACGGTCACGGGCTTGATGTCATACGAGGTTGTGGGTACGAACTGCTGAGTTGTTTCAGACTGGGACAAAACAGCTGTTTAGTGCCCACAGCTAACTACCCGTCAACATATTTTGGTAAGCATAACTACAACTCAGCTGAAATATTATTTAGATTGTTTGTTTTCCGAAAAGATATTTCCACGGCTGCGTAGATATAAGTGCACTGAAGCGGTATATACCTCTTCGTTAATTAGTACTCCAATAGTTCAGTGATTCAAATAGCGACATAAACAAGTGAGTACCATTCAAATCTAATGCATTACTGACTACATCTTGCCAGCCGAGCGCTGCTCCGCCTACTGAGGTTTGGACAGCGAGGTAGTATCATTAGCCCTCACACAATAGGTGTGGCTCATTGCCTACTGCACCAAAGTGTACAAGGCTTCTGAGTGCATTTCGAATCGATTCGAGATCGTACCAGTCACGAGTTTAGTACAGTTATCATAATGTATTCGGTAATTGCTATCCTCTGCGTGCCTTAAGATGACCAAATATTCATTGAATAAGCTGTAGCTGAGTTAGGAGTAACTAAAATATCATAAAAAGTTCAACGGGTTATTTCATAAAGTATTTTGCCTACTCTTCTAGGTTATCACCAACCTGCTTGTTGCAATGGTATTCATAATAACCACTACTTTTCTTGCATTAGTATTAAATGACTGTTATACATAATCGCTTCTTCATTCATTCTCACGATTGCTCTCAGTCATTCAAAAGGTTCTCTGCTAATAATTATGTAGCCATTTTCGTGCTCAGAGCTAGCTGAATTGATCTTCTGTGCATCAATTACGTCAAGGAAGCTAAATGGATATGACACGAGGCTAAATCAGAATGTTGAATTAGGTGGTTTGAGGGAATCAGTCACTGTGAAAACTATTTTTACTACGGAATGACATCAGCTAGATAAACATTGAAAATAAAATGACACTGCATAACTATTTTATCTTGTTTTGGGACTATTTAGTAGTATGCACCTTAAGACCTATAAATGCTCAAGCGAAGAATCTTTAAGTCATGTAGCGATAGCGTTACCAACCAACTGCTGAGTCAGAATTCAATGATTCCGTTTCTTTTTTCAATATGACATGACCATTAACTGATCTCTAACTAGACATTCTTTCCAAGTTCTAGACAGCTTGACTCTACAGGTTGTTCCCGTAATATCTACAGGGGCTGGCATTTAGTCCGGCATGAGTTTGGGTGAAAACTGTAAAGCGTCTTAAAGAAAAATAGAGCAGATCACCAGTGCTACATCGTTTTTAATAATTCTCTTTATAATAACAGGTCTGCGATGAATAAAATCTTAGAAACAAATCAGAACAGAAATGACCATGATACCCGGTCATCAGTTTTAATAATCTCGGAGTGATCGTTTAAACGTACCCAATATATGCCAATTCAAACGTAGAAACGCATTTTCATTTCAGGTGTTCGCCCTCTGAGAGCCAGATATGGATGGCATTGACTATAACAAAAGTGCTAAACAGTAACCACAGTCATGCTTTGGCCGACGATAATGATTGAACTACACCAATGTGTGCCATCAGAATACGGTAGACAATATTTAGTACTAGAAACTAGATGAAAATCGACACAAAACTCCATATGATAAAGGTTTAAGCCAGACGATAGACAGGCCTGGTTCACAACCTCATCAATCGACTGTCCTGTCTTGCCTAGTACCCTTCGCCTGACGTGAACATTGCTCACACGGTAGCAATGCTACGGAGACATCTGTGGTAAAAAATCTGTAAAGACTTCATGTCTTCTACTGTTAACAGCCATGTCTATCGGCAGTACAACAGGACAGGACTGACTGCAGAGCAGTATTCTCGTACTGTGATAGGTAGTCGGATATCTGGCCAGTCTGTTCCACAGATGATATAGGCTGGCAAATACCAGATAGGCCTTTCGGACCCGAGGTGAGATTTCATCAACAACCAGCCCGTTCATTGGGCTGAAGGAACTCCTCAAGTAAGTGAGGTGGGTCAGCATATTGGACCATATCACTGGGAGTCGTTGGCAATGGGTCCCGAAGCATCATCTTAATATTCACAGATATGAAACGCAGACGAAACATACATACTGAAACTTAACATAAAAGTGTACTAGTGGCGTTGAAGATATTCCAGCTCCATTTTTATTCTCATGGTTTTTAAGTTTCGAAACCAATTTTAGAGTCAGAGATACATTAAGCGGGTGTATGTCGGGATACATCAAGTACACATTAATCAAGGCTTTTTTCACTTCCTTCAGAGTATCCCCGTCAGATGAAATAAGTTATTTACCATATTACCAATTCAGATTTTGGATTTGGAAGTCAAAAGGAAATGCTAACAACTTAGCTTTCATTAACAAATTAATTAGTTCAGAATAGAGTTCGTCAGACCTATAAAAGGAGTCTACAGAGGAGGGAATATGAGCAAAGACACTATTCATGAAATGAAACAAAATAAGTCACAAATCTCATAATCGGTAAAAGTGCTTCGTTTCACATATGTGCCACAACTTTTAGTGAGCAAAAGTGTAAATATGAGCAACTGAGTAGAAAGTAAAAAACTCACTTTTTCTCACAACCACTTTGAGATGAATCAAACCAGACACCTACACCTTCACCATCTTCAGATAAACCAACGAGTAGATCATTCACAGTATTACTTTCAGTCTGTAATGAAGGTATATTCACAAAACTATTAGTGGATGTATGTGACATTGTAGTGATTGCAGGATTACGGATGAAAGCCCAAGTTACAATTAACTTAAAACAAGAGAAGAGAAATGCGACTGAACAGTGGACCTGCTTTGTTACAGGTGAATACCAAATAGCATAAACCATTCCATTTGGAAGACTACACAATCGTATTAAATCAGGACTAAGCTCTGAATCTTCTTCAGTAATATCACAAAGAATATTCAAAAAACGTCTTGAACAAGCGAATATTGATGATGATATCGACAGAGAGGAGAAATCGGCAAATACTGAAGAAGTATGCTGCTGTAAATAGCTAAGCATATTCATGTAACAGCTCTTATCACACAGAACACATATATGAATCGATGAAATTTTCAAGTCTGATCCACCGGTATTCGATGTCAGATGATGATGATGATATGGTATTTCCAAATTTACACAGCCAGCAGATCTGAAATGAAATGTTATGAAATAAAGGATCCGTAAGAGAATACTAAAACAGATATCACACAGTTCAATGAATTAACAATAAACTACTAAATTACACCACTAGGTGTAAGAGATGTAAGAGAATTGATTTTTATAGCCAGGTGGTAACGTCTCTGACTGCAGCGCTGGGTGGCTTGGGTTCGAATCTCAGGCTGGGCATCAGTTTCGTCAAGGTTGCAGATACGCTTTGCTGATGAGTGCCAAAAAACATGAAACCTAGGTCCAGGGCATCCTACCAACTGCATCCATCTAACCAACTAGCACGCTTTACATGACAAGTGAAAAATAAGCCAAAATGTTTGAAGCAGTAGATACTCGAGTCAGGATGCTCTCAGTAACGACGTGCATATTTGTGGAATAAGCGACGAGCCACACATATTGTGTTAGGGCTAATGGTACTACCAGGCTACCCAAACCTTGGTGGGTGAAGCGGTGTTTAGACTCGTGAACCATTGGTTGAAAGTCAACGGTCTGGACCGGTGAGTCACAACTCCACGCAGTAGATACTAGTTTTCGATTTTCAGCAAGAACCATCAGGACGTAATACTGGGTCAAGATATTCTTTTAACCACGATTCATGTACAACGAGAATAGCATACAAATTATCCTACTAATAGTCGTCTTTAGAATACTTACATAACACAATCAATGTCACTAACAAAGCACATACACCAGTAGTAGGTAATATAACGATAAGAAAACAGTCAGAATTTAGAAAGTAAGCTAAAAATAAATATTGACCTGAAATTCTGTCTTCCTTGCAGACATTGTCAGAGCGATCAGGGGAGAAATACCAATTTGGAACTAGCAACCATCACACACAATACTACTGAGAAGTAAAACTGGAAGAAAACAGAACCAACACTAACCAACGAAGCTTTTGTCTGCATTCGGTTGATTGCACTCTTTAAGGAGGTGTTCCAGATAGTGTTTCCAAGTTGCATTTAGCGTTTGGTAACATCAACCAACCTTATGTAATCCCGTGTTGGGGTAATGATTCATCAATAAAAAGATATGTACAAAACAGAATCTCGCACAAAAAGTAACCAGTTCAAGTTTCAACATCCCGTGAGCTTAAATAATGCACACGAATTATTCACTAAATGCATGACACGAAGTGAAGTGTATTTTTGTTTCAACAGCTCAGTTGTTTACCTTAGTTGACAAAATTAAGTCAAGGTAAAACATAACGTTTAACAGCTATTAACCAGTTAAAGTTTCATGTACTCTGAAGGGGACAAGCACTTATTGGGTATGAGAGCCAGTAATAATAGTCGGTTACCTGAAAGAAGACAGAACAAGCTTAAACTCACTGTTAAGCGAACTACTACATTAAAGTACTTATCAATCATTAATATAGTATCATTATTATTATTTGTCCCTTGGGTTCCTAGTGCAACATAGGGCCTCAGTAGCAGGTTGACAATTCACTTTATTCTCTCTAGTATTTTCAACCTGGCTTCATGACTGCCCACAAGCTTTCATTTATTCCTCACATGATCTCCTCCATGTCACCCTCGCCTCGGACACCCAACTCGTCCTTTCCCATTTGGATTCCCACTCGACGGCCTAGGGCGTGATGCCCTCAATCGGTCTTCTCAGTGTATGCCCAATTCATCTCCACTTTCTTCTGCATATTCGTTAGGCGATGGGTTCTTGGTTGGTTCGTTGCCAGTTAGCCAGAGTCCCTTGTTGCTTATTATTTCTTACCGTCTGATCTGATTTTCAGTATCAAGCGTAGGCAGCTGTTGATGAATGTCTGTAGTTTGTTGGAAAAGCTTTTTGTAAAGCGCTAAGTCTCTGAACCATATAGAAGAACTGACTTGACATTAGTGTTGAAGATCTGGGTCTTGTTCTTTATGCTGAGTGCAGTAGATCTCCACACTGACTTCAGATTAACGAAGGCCTGTCTTGCTGTTTTTCCGATCCTGGCTTTGACGTCCTCATCTATGCCGCCGCCTGTAGTAGAGACGATGCTGCCTTGCCTAGGTGGTAGGTGAAAGAGACAAGTTGCTTTAGATTTCTTTCGTTGATGGTGACTGGTGCTTGTTGTTGTTATTGTTGGTTGAGTATCTTCATCACCTCTACCTCTGTCTTCTCTACGTTAACTTGAAATCCCGTCTTCGCTGCCTCTTTTGTCAACTCGTCGGTTTTTGCCAGTAGATCTACCAGTTTGTGCGACATTAGACATAAATCATCACTGGTGAAATCCAAATCTTCTTCTGGGGTACTTTCATCGGTGCAGCCAGTCTGTGCCCATATTCTCACAGCTCCTCAGGGTTTGCTGCATGATCCAGTCCACCACATTCAGGAAGATCATCGGTGACAGTAAGCAGCCTTGTCTTACTCCTGTCTTCACTTCAACGGTATCACTGAGCTTTCCATTGTGAACCACTCGGCATATGGCGTCTTTATATAGTTGTTGAATGAGGTTGATAAAGGTTTGTGGACCTGAAACTGTAGTGTTGAGGCAGTTTCCAAATCACTCCTCGGTTGATGCTGTCGAAGGCCTTCTCAAAATCGATGAAGTTGAGGTAGAGAGTTGACTGCCATTCTACGCTCTGCTCTATGATGATGCGCAGCGTAGCGTTGCAATTTGGTCCGCACATGATTTATTCTTTCTGAGGCCAGCCAGCCTGTTCCGGTAGTAATTTTGAATCCAGCTCATCTTTTAGTCTCTCCAGGATAATGCAGTTTAATATTTTGCTTGGGGTGGGCGGAAAGGAGCATGATTCCGCGTCAGTTCCTGCAAAGACTTAGGTCTCCATTCTTCGGAAGTTTGGCAAGGTAGCCTTTCTTCCAATCAATGAGCAGGTACCTTTCCTTCTTTCTTTCCAGACCTTCTGCAATAATGGTGTGAGTGTGTCCGCTGTTGTCTCTGCGTGTTTTCAATGCTCCTATTGGAATTCCATCTGGTCCTGCTGCTTTCCCAGATTTCAGCACCTTTATGGCATTCAGGACTTCGGCTTTTGTCGGAGGGCCTGTGTTCGCTGGCAGTTCTGTGGTTGGGCTGCTGGTGGTATTTCTGGACGAGTTGCAGGTGGTGGTGGTGGTGGTGGTGGTCGATACAAGAATTTCTCGAAGTGATTAACCCATCGTTTCCTTTGTTTCTCCTCTTTGGTAACTAAATGTCCTTCACTATCTTTTATTGGTTTGATCTGCATTGATCTCTTCCCAGATAGTATTTTGGTCATTTGATATAATGTTATCAAGTCTCTCCTACCTGCAGCCTGTTCTGCTTCACTTGCCAGTGTGTCATAGAAGTGTCTTTTGTCTTTGCGCACACTCCTCTGTACTTCTTTGTCCAGTGTGGTGTTTTATAGGTTGTGTTAAGTTACTCCTTTCGTTGTGCATCCTTGCACTGGTTTATTTACTGCTTCACCATCTTTCTCTCCCTTCTCTGTCAGCTTCCATGTGTCCGTCGAGATCTACTCCTTGTCTTGCCGCTTCTTCCTTCTTAATACGGTAATGCAGGTTTACTTCCATATAGCTTTCAAAGAGTTCTAGTGCTCTTCCATGCAGGTTTCCTCGGGGATTCTGCTCAATATCTCCCATTCGTCCTGATATCTGACTGACGTGAAGATGTTCTTTGCAGTTTCATCTTTCAATTTGTTCTGGCTGGGTGTTGAACTTGAACTGTGATCTACCACCAGCTTCATTTAAGGCTTCCAATTTGATTTTGAAGTTGGGTTCCTTGCACTAGATAGTCTGATGGTGTGAACCTGCATCTGCTCCTCTTTTTCATCTGGTCTTGTGTCCAGTAGGCTGACTGCGTCTCCACCTTCTTCACATTGAAATGAAGTCGATCTGAATTTTAGTGTAGTGTGTCCATCTGGTGAAATCAAATCCATGTCACTTTGTGGATATCCATGTGTTTGTACACACTGCCTCCAATCACCAAATCGTTGAATGCGCAGAAATCTACAAACAGTTATCCATTCTCGTTACTTTCACCGAGTGCTTCTCGACCCATGATGAGTTCTCTTCCTGTATTGTCTGCTCCCACTTTGGCATTCATGTCACCCCAACCATTAGAATTTTGATGTTGCCAACTCGGATGGGGTCTTGTCGATTACTGATTGCAGTTGTCTGTAGAATTCCTCCTTCTTCTCTTAATCTGCATTATTATTAGCACGTAGCATTGAATGACTGTGACTTTCCTACCTTTTGAGTTGAATCTTGCTGTCATGATGTGACCCTGCAGGAGGAGATTGATACCCTCTGCATGAGAGCCTTCGATGCCCCTGCGGACATCATGATAGATTACTGACTCTCTAGTTGACAATTTGAAGATTCCACTTCCATTCCATCTGCTTTCCCTGATTCCTGGCACTTTTATGCTATACCTTCTCATCTCTTCGGCAATCTGGGCAGCCTTGCTAGGTTCAAACATTGTGCGGACATTCCATGTCCCCATTCTTACTTTCACTTTCATCGAGAGAAGCTGTCTGGCTTCCCAAAGACTTTCACCAACTGGCATCATTTCGCCTCACCGAATCCAGGGAGGAATAAGTTTATTTTTATTTATATTTTTTGTGCTTCGAAGTTTCTCTAGAGGTTAGATTGGTAGGGTAGGGTTGCTAGCCCTATGCCCAACCTTCCGTCTTTATCCAGGCTTAGGACCGGCTAGTAACTAATGAACTGGTTACCTAGACGAGGTTAATCATTAATATAGTAGCACAACAATATCAAGAATGTAAAAAAAATCTGACCAACTTACAAAGAATTCCGATACAATTCAATAGTTAAATCGAAACTTTGTGTAGCAGGCTGATAAAGACCTTCAATTTTTATAGTTTCACTACCCAAAGTCTCAGTAGTTAATACAGTTAATCCTCGCTTATCTGTATCATCTTTTTTAAGATCTGTTCAACAAATTATAAACAAGAAAATTCCCATAATTCGATCAGAATGATAGAAAAGTGACATAAAAACAATAAAAAGGTTGTAGTTATCACAGTAGACATTCATTAGTTATGGTATGAAACTATCTTAAAATAAATGGGTCATCTATAAATCACTTGAACAAGTAATATGCAGAGTACATACATTACTGATGTTATAAATACAAGATAGGGACAGTATATCGAAGGATTTCGATTAGCACCAAGGAATTAACGATTAGGTTGGTTACCATTGAGTGGCTTATTTGTGGACGGTAAGTTTCTACATTGATTAGTCACTGCAAAGCAACCAATTTCATGTTGTCTAGTCCTGAGAGTTAACTGAATTCAATCGACCATCTTGCAATCTGACCACTAAACTAGGAGGCTCGCCCGCATGGTGCACTCTGATAGATTTCAGTTGGTTCGAAGGTAATCAGTAGAAAGCATGAAATTATATAGGTTACTAACTTTATTTTCAAAGTTGAACAAGCAACTTCAGTGGCAGCAGTGAACCTGGAAAAAAAATGCTCCGAAACCTAATACAACACAGTCAGCTTATACAATTAGAAATGCTTAATAGCACAGTAGAGGTGACAGCAGTTAGCTAATTTCAGAAAAAAGCATAGGATTGATTACAGACTTAAGAGTAAGTTTCCACGGTACCAAAGTGGTGTACATGTCTCATGGGCCCCGGTGTTACACAAACCTTTTTCTCTTTTAGAAGGAGAAATAGCTTTGCACAGTGTGGTCAACCGGGAAGTGTCAACCACCTGCACAATTTCAGAAGTACATAAGATTCAATCAAACATAACTTATTTTACTCAATTCTGTCTCCTTTGACTTTACCTCCTGATACTAATACTAAGCCTGCTGCACCTTACATGAACTCTCACTTCCCAACCATTGCCAATCCCAAAAGCCATTGGAACTTCATTCCTAGTCGCCTAAAAACCCACTATCGATTTCATGCACGCGCTTTCAAATTCCGGACTTCATGCCAAATCAAACAGCAAGCATCGTTCGTCAAAACTCTGGAATCTCTAGCCAAGGATGTATACTGTGCCTCTGACCTGAGTGTGGTCATTATATTTACCTCATCTGGTCATGGTAGAGAATCTTCGAAATTCACCTTAAGGGTGTTTGGAGATTCAGTGGTTAGCTCTCATGGACTCGCTGGTGTAGGCATAGCATTGAGTTGCAGAGCAGAGAGTGCGCTTCTCGACTAGATACCAGTCAACAGCCATCTATGTGATATTGGACTGGATGGATCTGTAAGGACTAGGAAGGATCGTGAGACCAACAGATGCCTATATGTAATCTCCGTCTACGCACTTACCTACTAGAGTTCGGATTATTCAAAGAATGAATTCTATGAAAAGCTGTCAATTATGCTTCAGAAAGCGGAACGTTCAGGTGTAGTCATGATGGCAAGTAACTTTGAACGCTCAAGTGGGGAAGCTGAGCCAGTCGGAAAGGCAGGCATTTAGGGGATATTTACAGAATTCCATGACAACGAACCGACAACGGTGATCGTCTGTTGCAATTTTGTTCCAACAGTCACTCGTTTCTGGACAGCACTAACTTTGGGCATAAAGAGAGACGCTGTCTCACATGGCGTCCGTCAACTTCAAACCAACGATGGAGACAGATAGATCACATTGCTACAAGCCATCGTTCGAGAGGATCGGTGGAGGATTGCCCCTCTTTCTAGAGTGTCAGTTTGGACTCCGACCACCCGTTTGTATGTACACGTGTATATCTGCGCCTTACTGGTCGCAGGATACAGACGATGGTAAAGCCTGTCAATGCTTCATTGGAAGAAGAGGACGCCAAATACGTTCTGAGAAAGGAGATAGCTAAGCATTTATCTGAACACGACAACAATGCTCAATCTGAAGAAATCTGGATTGATATTCAGTCTGCTGGAGAAACAGTGATAGGGACAGTTGGTAACCTGGACATGAAGCTTAGTGAATGTTATCCAAACTGATTGATGCGAGAAGACTGGTTCCAACTGCCTCTGACCATGACGAAGATAAAAAGTAACCTAAACGTAAGTTAACCGAGAGTTTTCGCAATGACCACGAGCAGTGATAGGTGACGAAAGTGGGAGAGATAGAGAAGGCATCAGCGTTAGGTAACACTCGGCAACTGTTCAGGCCCATTAAGGATACCGGCAAGAAGAAGTCGATGTTGAGTGGAACCATTACCGAAAAGGATGCGACACTGATAACCTCTCAGAACAGGCGAATAGAACGTTGGGCAGAACACTCTGAAGCACAGTTCAACTGGCTCAGCACCGCTTCAGTTACCCAACATTCAGTTTGAACCTGAATGAGAGGTCAAGATGTTGGTCCTTCAACTCCCATTGAAGTTGAGAAAGATGCATTGAACCTGAAACGATAGAGTTTGCTACCCTTAGTTTTCAAAGACGGAGGTAGGAAATAGCTGATTAAAGTGACGGAGGTACTATTTAGTGTATGCGAATCAGAAGTAGTACCGTCGGACTGGTCTACTTCTCTGATCATCCCAGTCAACAAGAAGCGGGAGGAATCTTCTTGTGACGACCATAGGGGAATTAGTTTGAATAATATTGTGTCCAAGATCCTAGACTTCATAGTTGTTTGACGCCTAACGAGTTTGAGAACAGCAAACTCGAGAGAATCAGGCAGGTTTCCGGTCTGGAGTAGGGTGTAGCCATATATTTACCCTAATACAGGTTCTGAAACATAGGCATACCTACCGGCCAGTAGCCGACATTTGTTATGTTTCTCGACCTGAAGGTGCCATTTGATTCTGTCGACCGTGAGGTGTCGTGGTAGTGTGACTGTGAAAGGAACACCGAGCAAACATATAACGCTAATCAAAGCTCTATTCTCGAGCTCACGCAGCGGTGTCGGGGCTTATGGAGAGTTGTCTTCAGCACTGACGACAACTAGTGGTGTCCGCCAGGGATGCCCACTGTTACCGTTCCTATTTAATTTCGTTATAGACGTACTAATGGACATAACCTTAAGTATGTCTGACCACAGGATTAACCTACTCCCTGGATGTCATTTGGTTGACTTCGAGTATGCAGGCTATATTGTGTTGCTTGGTGAAGACGCTGACAAAATAAAGGGTCTTGTGAACGCGTTGAGCAGAAATCTGCGTATGTTTGGCATGAGTTTCAAATGCTCCAGGACTGGTCTGCAAGTACTCCCAGATTAATGATAGGGAGTGAAATGATAGAATGTGTCGACCACTTCACTTACCTGGGGAGTTGCATTAGCCCGAACAGGCCGGTTGCTGACGATATAGGAGCCCCGTTTAGGATTTGCCAAACCGCGTTACCGGTGGCACCGGCTAGATATCCGACTATCTATCAAAGGACGAGTATACTGCTCTACAGTTCACTCTGTCCTCCTATACGGCTGTGAGACATGACCATTAAAACTAACATAAGTGTAAAACTTGGGCACTGGTAGGATTTAATTCCACATTAGATTTGTTTATTTGATTTACAACACACAGTGATACAGTATTATTTACTTGATGACGTTTCGAGCACATATTATTGTTCATAATCATATCAATGTAATTACACTACTTTCGACACACACCTTAACATCTTCTAAAGCTTGAATATTCACACTAACCTTCACTTTCAAATTGTTTATTGTCTCACACAACTTTGTCTACTTTGATACCACTTTTTTCTACCCACCTGTTCTCTGTATACTACTGTGAAGTGTGGCAACTTGCGCCGATGCACTTGTGTGCGAGGTTATACGTTGATTTTGTCCGTCAGTTAGCTTGTCTCGAACTCAATAATATTGATTTTCCTTTTTTCCTAAGTGCATTAACCTTTTATTTATTTCGTATTCTATGAAAATTGGTTCATGCGTTGGTACAGCTTCTACATTAAATTATGGTGAACTGATGTTTCCTAGTTCTCGTTGAACGTCTAACTAGTTAATCTTATCAGCTTTCTGTATTGGATTTTGAAAGCAGACTATTTAGTCTTGTTGCTCCAATGCATTTTATGTATTTAATAGTTTTCTCAACATTTTTAAGAGTAGAATATGTAATGCTGAGTTCGGGTTATAGGCTGAATGTATCAAAGGTTGAACAAAACTCACAGAAAAAATTTGAATCCTAAGTAGTTTACTCACCAGGGTCGACCAAAACAGTAGACTTATCGAAATCTGAAAACAAATCTTCCATCGATGTATCCATATTCAATGGCCTTTATGGCTGAAATTGAAATACTTTTTTTAGAATTTACCACATGAATGTCTATCAAATTATTAGAATAAATGGTTAATGCACCAGTCTAACCATTATTTGACCTGTAACACTGTGAAACTCAACAGTACAAAAAAGAATATACATGATTTATCAGCATCCTAAAGAAAATAAGTTCACGATAATGGAATGGAACATGTATATATGCCAATCATTAGGAAGTGTTTAACAAATTAGTCAAGTCCCAAATGGTTGGAGATAATGAAGATAATAATGGGGATAATAATACGAAGTCCTAGACATGAATGTTATTATTAGAACGTAGACATATTACAGCAAAGGCACCAAATGAGTTACATATGAAAGATGGGAAGTGAGTAAGCAAGAAAGGAAAACAAAAAGAATAGCATGATTAGAAATGCAGTCTATTAAAATACATTCAAAACAAAATGTCCATCAATTTTCAGCAGCAGAAGGAAAAAGGAAGCAGCAGGATGACCACCGCTGGTTTCGATCCTCAACCGCATCTGATAACGTCTCAAGCCACTGAGACAGGTGATCTCTCGGACACCATACAGGGAATCATGATGCACTAACAGATGATGACGCGACACAACTACGCCTCACTCCACGGCGCCGCGTCATACGCTAACCACCCCTCCGCTTCTTCTATTCAGTCCCAGAGTAAGCAAACAACGAAAGCTATGTAAGCCGTTGGGACGACATGCGTAACACATGTGCAAGCTATGGAACTCACTGTTTCCAGTTGACTTCATTCATTGAATCACGATCTCCATCATGCCCAACCACACGGTGTCGTACCTCAGAACTACTTAAATGATGTTGCCACTGCATACAAACAATTCTACGGAGACAACGATGCTCGAACACACAGGGTCATCATAAATCCTCAGCTCGGAGAGGCCACGTTTCACAAGTGTACAGTAAAACTGCTAACAACGAAGCGTTGTGAACCCGATCTTTTACGGTCAGAAGAACGTCACAACAGCGCTGAAGGTGGTCCAGATTGACGTATGCCACTATGGTTTTCGATATGCGGTTGTATATTTCATCACTGACACCTCCATCAGCACACACAACTACCCAGATGCACACACTTTTCGACTACTTCCAACTGCTCATCACCAAGGGTGAGAACAGAAATATGGTCAAGCCAACCTTACGAAAGTACTCCGCATTTCGATGGTGCAAAGCACATACTATTATTACGGACAGGAATCGCCAACTGATTAAGCGCGATTTGAATAGTCTGTGTTATCGAACAGTAAGACGATATCGTCGGCATACTTAGGGTCGAATAACTGTTGCACGGGGCGTAGATCTACAACACCATTACGCACCTCCTCCTTCAGGACTACCTCAAGAATGTCATTCATGGTACAGTCAAAGAGGAATGGAAATATCGGGAAACCTTATCTAACCCCACTGCTGGTTTGGAACAATGGAGACAGGTGGTTATGTGCCTTTATTCTATCCGACGTATCATTATACACGGTTTCCAGAAGTTTTAAATTTCTCAGGCACACCTCTCTCAAACAGACAGTCCAAAGTACAGCTCTGTCCAACAAATTAAAGGCGGCCCTAGTGTCACGAAGCACAACGATCGTCGGCCAGCAATGCATCCGGAGACATTCAAGCATCTTGAAGAGGGTAAACACACGATCAATGTGTCCAAGACCTGGACGAAACCCCGCCCGCTTCTCGTGTGTTTTGGGAAGTCTGAGAAGTATGATAGCAGTCGATAATTTCGACGCGACTGGTAACAGACTGATACCTCGATGATTGCCACATACATTACGTAGACGTTTTCTAAAGATGGGCACAACAATGACTTCATTCCAGAGTGATGGAACATTCTCAATCTGCCATACCTTCTCAAAAGATTTAGCTAGTTACCTGACAAGAGTCGTCCCTCTATCCTTAGAAAGAGCTAGGAGTAAGTTGTCTGGGAGGGGGAACCTGTGGCCTTTCAGAACTTGGAGTTCCCTATGGACCTCCGCTTGGATGCTGGGGTCAGCGTTGACTGATCATGAAGCGCGAAACACTAAAGCTGACAATGCTGAAGCCATGGAACAGCTGAACTACTTTTTGAAGTGCTCCGTCCAGCCTTCCAGGCATCTCTAAAGATTGTTTATTGGCGTACCACTTACCTCATAGACTGCCTTACTGATAACAAGCTTCTTGCTGCCTGTGGCTCGGATGAGCCAGGCCAGCTTCCGACTTTAGCTAGGTGTAGCTGCTGCTCTCATCTCACTCGCGCGTTCTGACCACCAAACCTCACGGTTCTTGCGTAAGCGTTGTGTAATCTTTTGCGCAAGGGACCTACGCAAGTCACTGCACTCGCTATCCGCCGGAACGGTTCGACAGGCGTCAAGAAGTTGCAAGGAGCTCGCAGAAACCCGGTGTTTATTAACGGGACATTCTTGAAAGCTGAAAACGGCTTTACTCGCCGTTTTCATGGCGTAGCGCAAGCGCAGTCAACGCTTGTCTACACTTTCTGGAGGATCAGTAGCTGGACTTGAATCTAGCTTGGATTGGTATTTAGCCACAATGTTAGATACAACTGATTCGCTTGTGTTGACCTGTTTATGACGACCATTTTGGTGACCACCAAAACACAAGAAAAGCTTAGCACACACTAAATCATGATCAGATTCCAGACAAGTAATCCATATGGAGCGGCAGTTCAGTATGCACCCATCCCATAGGTAGCTGACTGCAATATGAATTATTTGAGTTTAGGCTTCAGTGGCAGGGAGAGGAGGCCAAGTAGCACAATGGCGATGACTGTGCCGGAAGTTGGTGCTGGATAGAAATAGGTTGTGATCCGCGCAAAGCTGCAGAACATGATCCCCATCATCTGACCTGCAGCCAACTATTCCCCGTTAGCCACTAAAACGACTCTCCTCTGTGTCTAGACGCCCGACCTGTGCATTCAAGTCGCCAGCTAGCACAACGACACCTACTGAGTACATTTAGCTGATAAAGTCATTCAGTTACCGGTAAATTTCATCTTTGACTGCATCCGCGATGCATTCCGTCAGAGCATAGGCAAAGATGACAAAGATGCCGATTACTTATTACTCCAGATGAACCTTCTAGCCTAACAGCGCAAACGCGGCTACTGATGGGGATACAGTCGAGTAGTACAGCTTCGGCTAGAGCCCTTATTGCGACACCGACAACAGCGATAACAGTAGCCGATGCCACGAGGTTCCCGGGTAAGCTCGCGTGAAACATATTTTTTGAACTGACAGATGGAGAACTAATTCAAAGCACTTCACCAAGTTTAAACACCATTCGTTCCATCTGGAACCTGGAGTTTATGAGCGACAATGGTCTGGATTGAGGCTTTTCCAACTCTATAGCTGGACCCTCAGTATCCAGAAAATCGCTTGCGCTCTTTCACACTTGTAGAAACAACTTCACTTGAAGGTAGAGCCTGTGAACATATACCAAGTAATTCAGTGGGGAATATTCATTTGGACCGAAACCCCTTGGTATGCCTGAAACACGAATTATTAAAGCGTCGGGAGATCCTTGGGCATCATTGAACTAGGTTGATTATATGTAACGAACCAAGCTCAAAACATACATGCATGTAAGACACGAAGCCGATAAGTTAAAAATATTCAGACTTAGGTTTCAAGAACCCACAAAAACATCACCAACTGACAACATCATTAATATTAAGAAGAAAGGTACATCTGTACAACTTATGCGTTGCACATAACGCGATAAAATTATGAAGTTACATATACAGGAAATGATAAAATACTGGGAGGATATGGACAGACATGGAAGAAGTTTATGTTCATTTTTTGGTTTATCTTACTTATTTTCATACCAGAAGGAAACTACAGCTCGGCTGCTACCAGTCTTTATTTTGAACGATATATGATCCACTTGTATTCAGTTTTGTTTGAGCGATTCCCTCCACTTACTCTTTATCTTTATTTGACCTGCTCAGCGTTAAATACAAGTTTGCTGTAAAATCGAAAGCTGTGTGAACAACCCGCTGTTAGAAGTGAATCGAAAACACATTTTCGAGGGCACCCTACCGACAATGTACATTTGTTCAATCACATAGCAAACGACGATATTCCCCATGTTAATTCGAAAAGCTTCTTAGCGTTTTTATTTGCTTTATATATTGAAGATTGGGCATATAGTGTATAACGATGAACAAGGAGGCAAACAAGCTACAGAGAACTACAACTACGTTGAAATTAAATATAACCAAAAAAATGCATTGATCAAAGTTAGGCAGGGATTTGATATTCCAGAAATCCGGAATAATAACAAGCGTAATTAGGATTAAGACACCTACAAAATGCAGAGTTGTATGAAAACGATCAGTAAACATCTGCGCTTGGTAAGTTTCCTATTCTGCCAGAATCTGAATGCAAATAATTAATTCAGGATTTCTTCAATATAGTAATTCATATGACAAAAGGAGAAATGTAGTTAGGCGTATTGATAACTTCAGTTACCTGGAAACCGCATTGTCCCAGGCGAATCAATAGAAGTTGTTACGAAGCGAACGGAAATTCACTATACATCTAGATGACAACAAACGGTTATCATTCCGGTCGTATAATGATGCCAGAGGTTACTTCCCATGCACTTTTCCGTCTGCTAAGGTAGGGATTTCCAAGTATTGAAGTCATTTGTGGATGCGTTTGAATTGCTCTCAATGGAGTGCATTGAATATGCAAGTAATGTGCTAGGCTTAGAACTACACTTATCCTATGATACCTAATGATGCTGCCTGGTTGCCCAACCGAAGGATAAAAGGAAGGTTTACAACACGACCCATGACACAAAAGTAAAGTGTGTAAACTAGTCAGCCATACACCCTCGCAACTAGCAAATGCACAGCAACCCAATCAAAGAAGCCTTGAATTTAAAAGAATTATCTTCCGATGCCATCGAACGGGCCCCTGATGCACTGAGTGGTGTTGAACGCCTTCACTCATACAGTTGTATTATTGTCAAAGGATACTGGTTCTCGTACTCTTTAACAGATTACTTATTATGTATATAGTGAAGCGAAACAGTATTATTTACTGATTACGTTTAAAGAACTTATTCATACAATCATATCAAGGTATAATTACGAGTATAAGCGATAAATTCTGAATGAAATGTGACCAGTAAATCGTTTTGTTTCACTATGATAGGCACAGTGGAAAGACTAAAATGGAACTGTATGCCACCACAGCGCCCAAATTGAAAACGTTCACGGGCATGGAAATGAGGAATTGAACTTCACACCTGAGAAGTAGTGATCAGTATATGCAAACGCCAACATGACACCCTTGAGACTGAAATCATGGGGAAAGTAAGCATGACGACCAACACATGCATTGTTCTTCCTTTGATGCGCTTTTAGCAGGTTGCAGTGGATATCGAGGAATCAGCCAGTGGCAAGATGCACATCTCCGAGAGCCAGTATATTGAAAGCAAGCAGTCGGACAGCGTTGGTTTGGACCTTTGACAGTACTGTGACCCTAGTTCTTGCACATTATGAGAACAGGCTTCGGAAAAATTTTAAGCAAACATCAGCATTTCTATAATTCAAACCGATTATGAACACAGTGCGGTAACTGACGGAACATACATAGTTTGATATGAATCGTGTCAGCGAATCCAGTTGAGTGTGCCAACTTTTACTGGTATCAGCCTTTAAGTACCCTATGAGGTATTGTTTCTGTGTGACCTCAGGAAACTTCTTCAGTCAACATTTTTGTCGGGCAAAATACAGCAGTTTTGGGTCGACCCAAAATATAGTAAGTGATCACTCAAGCCAGTGTCCCCGTATCAAATCTTTCGACCTCCTCCCCATGCAGTCTACACCTACTTTATATTCATGTAATGGTGATGACACATTAAATTCCAGTTCCAAAAACTGGATGAGAACATTGGAAGCTATTTTTAATCTGCTGCTGCAGTGCCGCTAAACAAATCAACAAACTCATACCAATGACTTACTTTTTACTTAAAAGAGCAATTCGGCACAGATATTAATGTATAAATGAAGAGGTAAGTCCATATATTAACGGAAAGTAAGAACGAATAAAGCATAGCCTTAATATGAGATACAGCCAGAATCTGCGCAGCGCAATAAATAAATCTAGCGCCTAAGAAAATATGTGTGTATTTTCGTGTGCTGGTTTCCAGAAATAACGATAATAGTACGCGGAAAGAAATAAATCCTCGCGCTTTTCGACAGTATAAGAACCCTGGCAGAGTTGTAATCTGAACCACAAGCAAATATCTAGTCAGCTTTGTAATCCTCAGATGAGTTCTGATACCCAATGTCCAATATCTGCTTAACGAGCTTGTGTAGACAGCTGATTTCTTCTTTCTCACTTCCCTGTCTAACGGAACAGTTCCAGATCTTTGGTGGATTCTACTGCAGTAGGTCCAGCCACTTATCTGCTATAGCTCTGGTATACGGAGCAGGAGGTCTAGTGTTAGTTAATTTGCCTGGGACTGTGTTGCAGTTGGGTTCTTCACATGTCCAGTTGCCAGACAGTTGTTCAGACTGGTCATCAAAGAGTTAGGGACAGCGAAGAGGAAACTTAGAAAGACATTTCTACACGGGCAAAAGGCAAAGAAAACTGAAGTAATAGGGCAACCAACTTACACCCAAGTAAGGTGGGGAGCGCAAATATATGAAGAGCTTAGGTGGGTGAGGCTAACTTATGGCGGGTGAAAAGGATGAAAATGGCTTAAATGACTACATTAAAAGGAAAACTGGCCTAAAGTTCATATGCATTCCAGTGCCCGCAGACTGAAAGGAAGAAGAGGTTTGAATGCACACGAGGTTTTTTAACTTCGGTGAGTAATTCTCTTAGGGTTTCCACGACGATCACCATAGTGACCACTCGGTAGGATTCCTCTGTTTGAGTGACTTGGGTCATTCATTACTTCGCAAGCCGTTATCCAGTTACCTCGCAACCTTCAGTAACTAAGAGAGTATGGGCCCAGGTTTTTCATTGTATCCCCATGTGGTTTTTGTGACGTCCCACCCCCCTTACGTTTGTGGCTCACTTTTGGGCCTCCTCCAATAGGTTCGTGCCTCTTTCCAGTGTGGGGGAGCAAAGACGTTATGAACCTCCAAGTGGGGACACATGCAGGTCTTGGAGAGTCCCACAAGAGCTCTGGGATGAGGACACCTGTTGTCCGTACGCAAAGCGAAGCACACCGTATGCTTCTGAGGCATCACTTTGGTAGTTAGAACTGGTGTCCAGTTTCTCCGTTGCCACTAAACCAAAACATTTGTCCGCTGCGATACGAGATATGTGAGAACCACAAAAAGAGTAGGATACTTTCTGTGGATCAAGAGTGCTGAAAAACGTGGACCGATAATTATCAGGGTTATATACGAATTCGTTATTTGTTACCCATCCCTTCAGTGTTTTGAGGTCGATCTGCGATGGACTCGATCCCGCTTCGTGAGTTACTGTCCTCGATAACTTGAGGTCATCAGCGTAGAGGAGAATCAAAGGGTTGATATGCAGCGAGAGGTCATTCACAAACAGTAGGAGCAACAACGGACCTAGGATTGCTCCTTGTGAGACACCAGACGATATTCTCCAAGTTGAGTAGGCCTTGAGGTCCCAGCATGCTGTCCAGTGATCATGGGCGTCAGCAGGTTTGAGACGCAGGGAGCCATTCTGAGCACCACTGAGTGCTTGTTGTGCGTCCAGATATTCCCCGATCCGGTCTTCTATGATGCTTCCGATAATTTTTGATATCATTGGGAGGAGTGCTATCTGTCTAAAAACAGTTTGGATTCTGCCTGTCTCCTCCTTTGAAGATAGGGGAGAGGATGGCAATCCCTGCTGTTGTAGGAGTTTTGTTCGTCTAAGGAGTGTTGGAAGGAACTTCAGAGTGGGTCACTTAGGGTGCTCGTACACTATTTCAACACGGGCTGATTTTATGGCACCATGGGGGGTTTCCCCACCGAGCTTTGATAGCCTATCGGGAACAACAGCACGGGTTACCTGTACTTCGTGTAACTCCGTTGCGTCAGATAACGGTAGGGACTGTTCGGGCAGTAGGTATGCATGCCTTCCTGATGGAGTGTTGAGCTGTGTGCCACAGGTGGTGCCTAATATTTCGACGATCTCCTATCCAGACAGGTTTTCTCCGTTTGGACCCATTGTGAGGCGTGCTGTTTCGCCTATAGATTTCCACTTTGCCATGAATCAATATGGGTTTTTGGGGTTTACCTCGAGCTCCTTGACGAGGTTGGACTGGAACGAACTCCTGTCTCCCAGCACCCTGATGCTGTATTACTTTCGTAGGATTTATACGCGTCGTGATCGTCCTCTTCTCTGGGTAGTCTGTGTCTATGACATGCCTTTCTCTTGATATTTTGGAGGTGCTGTGTGCCTTTTTTTAGCTACGAGGTCCGCTTGCTGAGTTTCATTACCACTGAGGGAGCATTGTTCGAAATCGCCGCCCTAACGATATCCCTTACTAGTTCCCAGTGTTAGTCAACCTATAAGGGGCGCCACTCCATTAGCCATGGAATCGTCGATAGTTTTGGTTAATTCCCTAATAGTTTGTCTGCTGTAACGGAGGAAAGGGTGAGGTCCCCCCCACGATAACCGCTCACTAACTACCGAGTCGAGCACCACCGCAGCAAGCTCTCTGCTCCCAACAGGAGTTTGGACTTCGACTTTTTCAACTAGATGATCACTAATCCGTAGGTAATCCAGTTTAAATGGTTTACCATCTGACCGCCAGCGGCTGTTGTCTCTAATTTTTCCTGCAGTCCATCCATTTGGATGGCATTTAGCAGGTTACAATAGGACTTCTGGCTCAGAGTCGTGCTTCCTTGCTCCAGGCCAAGAGTTGGGCGCTGAAGCCGCCAGCTATTAAGACCTGGTCATACCGCACAGTCGATACTGTGAATATTACTTGGCGTAATTTTTGATTGTGCCACACGTCGACATAAGGGGGCCTATAGACTCCTCCAGCCAGGTACTTAGTGTGTTTGAGTTGCACCAGACTGAGTTTGAAAGCCCTGTCACTAGAGTGTCAGCAGTTTGTCCACCTTTTAACCGACTGTTCCCGTAAGTTGCAACCCCTACTCTACTCTTGCGTACCCCGCCACTCATTAACAAAGACATGTCATCTGTTTTAACTTCGGTGTCGATAACTTTGCTCCCGTCAGGATTATAATTTTCAGAACAATGTCCGAACAGAGGGGCTGCAGCTTCGACGCTCTACTTCGGAGCCATCTCACGTTACTGTGAGGGCATTTGGAAGAGCTCCCGGTTACGTAAGGTGTACCTGGGCCAGCCAGTGGCACAAGATGGCGGTGAGCGATCTTACTGACTGCTCACGTTTAATGGAACCGGCCCAGTAAAGTTTTTTCCCAGGCGCATGGTGCAGTTGGTGCCGAGTGGAGGTTGCCCATCTGACTCTCAATGTGTCAGTGTAGGGTGATGGCAGCCTGAGCACGGCAAGTACCCACCGTTCGCTATTGTAGCAATGTTCTCGGGTTGCTTTCTTATCGGTGAACCTTCCCGCTTATGGGGCTCTTGACCTTTTACCAAGTCTCTAGCACTGCGGTCAGTAATTATGGGGGTTCGAAGTTGACGGCCATTGGTCTGGGTGAGGTTATGGTCGTTGGATGCGAGGAACGTGGCAGTCTACCGAACGCCACTAATGTCACCTCACTTAGTTCCATTACTTCTGAACGGCATGTTTTTCGAAAAAATCCCCATCGTATGAATGAATAACCTGAGATACTTGAATAGTAAACAGCCTTATTTAATATCGATAAATAGGGGGATTTCAATAACTTAGTACCACAAGAGTTTTGATAAAAAGTGCACATAACAAACTGACTGCTGCAGACCGGATGCAAACAAAGATGAACGCTGTCATCAAAAGAGTGAATTTCCCGGCCGAATGTGCTCAATAGATGTCGTAGTGCCAGCTGGGGACTTCACGGAGAAGGCAAGGACTCACAATTGTGGTAGAGCACAAGCGATCTTCTGGCGCATATCAATGAACAGGTGAATAATGAGGGTCCAGCTATAGAGTTGGAAAAGCCTGAATCCAGACCATTGTCGCTCATAAACTCCAGGTTCCAGATGGAACGAATGGTGTTTAAACTTGGTGAAGTGCTTTGAATTAGTTCTCCATCTGTCAGTTCAAAAAATATGTTTCACGCGAGCTTACCCGGGAACCTCGTGGCATCGGCTACTGTTATCGCTGTTGTCGGTGTCGCAATAAGGGCTCTAGCCGAAGCTGTACTACTCGACTGTATCCCCATCAGTAGCCGCGTTTGCGCTGTTTAAGCTAGAAGGTTCATCTGGAGTAATAAGTAATCGGCATCTTTGTCATCTTTGCCTATGCTCTGACGGAATGCATCGCGGATGCAGTCAAAGATGAAATTTACCGGTAACTGAATGACTTTATCAGCTAAATGTACTCAGTAGGTGTCGTTGTGCTAGCTGGCGACTTGAATGCACAGGTCGGGCGTCTAGACACAGAGGAGAGTCGTTTTAGTGGCTAACGGGGAATAGTTGGCTGCAGGTCAGATGATGGGGATCATGTTCTGCAGCTTTGCGCGGATCACAACCTATTTCTATCCAGCACCAACTTCTGGCACAGTCATCGCCATTGTGCTACTTGGCCTCCTCTCCCTGCCACTGAAGCCTAAACTCAAATAATTCATATTGCAGTCAGCTACCTATGGGATGGGTGCATACTGAACTGCCGCTCCATATGGATTACTTGTCTGGAATCTGATCATGATTTAGTGTGTGCTAAGCTTTTCTTGTGTTTTGGTGGTCACCAAAATGGTCGTCATAAACAGGTCAACACAAGCGAATCAGTTGTATCTAACATTGTGGCTAAATACCAATCCAAGCTAGATTCAAGTCCAGCTACTGATCCTCCAGAAAGTGTAGACAAGCGTTGACTGCGCTTGCGCTACGCCATGAAAACGGCGAGTAAAGCCGTTTTCAGCTTTCAAGAATGTCCCGTTAATAAACACCGGGTTTCTGCGAGCTCCTTGCAACTTCTTGACGCCTGTCGAACCGTTCCGGCGGATAGCGAGTGCAGTGACTTGCGTAGGTCCCTTGCGCAAAAGATTGCACAACGCTTACGCAAGAACCGTG